TGGCCCCAGCGTGGGAGGGGGGGGGCTTGGGGGACCGGGGTGTGTGGGGGGGCGATCCCTGTCCCCATGGCTGCTCTCTCCGGAACTTTCGCAGCCCCTGGCCCCGTGTCCGGGAAGGCAAAACCAACCTCAGGATCCTGGCTGGGATGGGGTGAGGGGGGGGTGGGGGGGGGGGGGGCACCCCTCTGCGCTGTCCCGGGGGATGCTCGAGCAGCCGCGTGCTCCCATCTCATCGCGCTCCAGCACCCCCCCCGTGGCCTGGGGACCCCCGCCGTCCATCCCCACCACAGCACTGCTTTCCTCCCCGTGGAGTCGGCACCCTGTCACCCCCCCCCCCCAAAAAAAAGGAGCCTCCCCGGGGGCTTGGAAGGCACTTCTTCCTCCGCAGCGGAGCTGTGCAGCCCGGTGCTGCAGCAAAGGGGTGCTGGGGGGGGGGGGGGGTGTCCCTCTCCCCACCTCCAGCTCTGGGTGCACAAACCCTGGCACGCCGGGTCCCATCCAGCCCCCCCCCCCCCCCCCCCCCCCCCGACACCCCGAGCTCGGAGGAGCCGGGTGCTGCCTGTGGGGACGCAGCGAAGCCGCAGCCGACCCCAGGCCCCAGAGCACGAAGGTCCCAAGTCTCTTTGTCACGGAACTTGGGACCCGGGGTGTCCCTCACCTGGCCTCAGGGCTGCGGTGCCTTGTGGCCCAGCTTGCTGGGCTGGCTCGAGCATTGAGCATCGCCCTGTCAGATCACGTTGCATTGTACTTTACCGCTCATTGTGTCACAGGAATAATTTAAGTCGCTTTTCTCCTCTGGGACTGCAGAAAACCCCATGTCTGGCTCTTGGACTAATGAAGCGTCTGGGATCAGTGACTCGAAATGCTTAAAACACTTCGGTCCAGCATTCCCTAAATTTAAAAGTCAGATTTGTGCATTTGAAATTGATTTTTCACTTGAAAGCTTACTTTGCTTCTACATATGTGAATGTTAAAATCTCCCAGAGATGTTGAACCCAACCTAGAACATTTCCTTTGAGTCAAGCAACAGCTCAGCCTGAAACTTCTGCTCCCACCAGCACAGAACCCAGCAGAACCTTGCCGGGCCGCCCCAAGCCAGGGCTTTTCCTTTTCAGCTGGGTGCTCGCGCCCACCCGGATTTAAGAGGGGCTGGGTGGGCGGGCGATGCTCTGCCCGTGGGCACGAGCAAAGCTTTGAACCCGCGGCACGTCCCCGGCCCTCAGCCCCACAGCGTCCCCTCGTCCCGGCGGGTCTCTCCTGCCCATCCTGCGCTGCCCCCCCCCCGCCTCTGCCTGAGCCCCCCAGCCCCTCGTCCCCAGCTCTGTGCCCCACCAGCAGCCCCCCTCCCACCCCATCCCAACCCAACCTGTCTCATCTCATCCCACCCCACCTCACCTCATGCCATGCCATCCCATCCCATTCCCATTCCCATCCCACCCCGTCCCACCCACCCCATCCCCATCCCCATTCCCATCCCATCCCCACTCCACCCCCCCCATCCCATCCCAGGAACCCCCAAACCAGGCCCCTGGGTGAGGGCTCCACCCCCCTCCCCACATTCCCTCTTCGCTTTGGGTGAGGACAAGCCACCCCAGATCTGGGACATCCCCCCCCCAGTCAGACTGGGGCACCCCAGGACTGACCCCCTTCACCAGCTCACCCCCCTCCTGCCCCAGTTTCTCCCCCCCAGCCCACAGGCAGAGCCGGGGGGGGGGGGGGGGGGCGGAATTGGGGGGGCCAGCCGGGCGAGCTGGGGGCCTCACACCTACCCCACTGCCAACGAAAATATTTACCCAGCGCTGAAACGAGCCGGGCCCGGTTCCCAGGGCTGGGTGACCCCTGGCAGCCCGCCGGCGTTGGGGACTGGGGGGGGGGTGTCAGGGGCGGGGGGGGGGATGGACAGTGGGGAGCGGGCTCTTGCTGCGAGCCTGAACCAGCTCCGTGGGGCTGGAGGGGAAGAGTTAAATACCTGCCAGCCCCCTCGGCGCCCCCCCAGCACATTCCAGTTAGAGGGGATCCATATGTGCCTGGGCTGCGCTGGCTGGGCGGCTGTGGGGTGGGGGTGTCTGGGGGTGTGTGTGCGCGTGTGATATTTGGGGGGGGGGGGGGCTTGCAGAGGCACCCAGACCACCGGGCAGGAGGTCCCCAACATCAGCAGGGGGGACAGAGGCTGGGGCGGGGGGTGGGGGGGATGCCCCACCGCCCCCCCCCCCAGAGCAGCCTGTCTCCCTTCAGCCCAGCAGCCTGGGCTGGCACTCGCCCCCCCCCGGGAGCCCCCCCAGCCGGGGCAGCGTTTCCCTGTCTCCCCTCCCAAAGAAAAATAGTCTCTGTTGACTCAGGTGCCAGGGCTTGGCCGCGGTTTTATAGCCTGTCTGCCAGCGGAGCCGCTATTTATTTAATTTGTCCTTTTCTTTCAGCCTTTCACCCCAGGAAGGTTAAGGTGAGGCTTCGGGGGGGCGGGGGGGGGGGGGGGGCTGCAGGGAGATTCAGCCCCATCCTCCAGCGCCGCCTCCTCTCCCTCCAGCTTCCAGCGCCGTCCGAAAGCAGCCAAAAGGCAAATTTTGCAGGGGAGGGGAAGCAGGATTTTTCCCCCCGTTCCCGCTACGGAGCTGATTTTGGGGTGCCCAGAGCCAGCGGGGACGGCGGGGAGATGCGGGGGGGGGGGGGGGGGGGGGCCCTGGGCCAGGCACATCCCTGCCAGCCAGGGCGGGACGGCTGATTTATGCTCGCCCTTCCCGTGGATGTTTTCCTCTCCTCTCCCTCCTCCCACACCCCAAATTCCTGGGATGCCCCTGGGCAGCCCCTTATCTCGCTGGTACGCGGTGGGGGGGTGGGGGGGGGGTGGGGGGGGGTGTGTGGGGGGTGCGGTGAGAAGCACCCTGCCTCCCGCTGACCTTCCCGCCATCCCCCCTTGGGTTTGGCCGAATCCTGGCCCCACCAGCCCCGCAGGCATCACCGGCTGGGGGGGCGGGGGGGGGGGGGGGGGGCAAGACTGGAACCCCCCCCCAGCGAGGCGGGGAGAGCTTTGCCCCACCAAGAAAATGCTCGTCCCAGGCTGCGGGGACGGCCACCCCCCCCTTCCCCCCCGGCGCAGGTTTTGCTGACGCGTTGCACACTTTCACTGCTTGCCCTGAGCCTCCCCATTCGTTTTGGCTCTCCCCGGAAGGTTCCCCTTTGAGGGTGGCCCCCACCCCGGCCGAGGGGGGTGGGGGGGGGAAACATGTCTCGGGACATGGAAAGAGGAACTGGATGGGGCTCTGCCCTGGATGCTGCCCACCGCCCGTGGGGACAGGCGGCCCCTGCGTGGCTGGCACCCTGCGAGCGGCTGACCCGGTGGGGGACAGCGAGCTTTGCCGTCACCCGTGTCACCGATTCGGGGAAGCCGGCGGGTCCCTGCGGTTTGGGGGTGGCCGGAGCGGGGCGGGGGTGGGGGGTGGTGTGGTGGTGTGGGGGGTGATGGTGCAAGCTGAGCTGCCAGCCACCGCCTCGCTTCCCAGCTGGAGGGCGAAAGCGTCGGCACATCCAGGCCCCCGAATCTCGAGGCGGGGACGGCAGCGGAGACGGCGTGTGCCCCGGCGAAAGCGGAGCCGGGGGAACGGGGAGGGAAGCGGGGGCTCAGGAAGCTGGTGCAGAGCAAGGGTGGGCTGCCCTTTGCAGCCCCCGAGCTGCCTCGGGGCCAGGTGGCCACTAGCCCTTTGCAGAAGCCCTGGCGCCACAGGCCATCCTGAGCTCGGGTGCCAGATGGCCACATTTCCCTAAACCAGGGCCTTTTTCGCTCAGTGCTGTGTCGGGAAAAGCAGCTCAGCACCTTCCCGAAGCCAGCTGACAAGGCAAGGTGCCCCCCGCCGCGGGGGCTGCGGGCTTGGCACAGCCTCCCCGCACCCGCAGCCCGGCACCCAGCTCACCGCCGGGCTCCGGGACCAGTTGGCCGGCAGCGGGTGCTCCCGAGGGGCTCACCGGCACCGCGGGCAACCGCCGCCCCTGCCTTGCTGGCTCAGCACCCGAGCCGGCCGAGCCAAGCCTGGCACGGGGCGGCTGGGGAGGGGACGGCGGCACGAGGTCCCGGAGTTTCCCACGCTCCCAGCCCACTTATACAAGGTCGAGCGTTGACCTCGAGCCGTCAGATTGGAGTGCCAGCTCTACCCGGCGCACAGGCGGGCTCGTGCCGCGGAGCCGGGTCACGCAGCGCTTTAGACCCAGCCCTGCAGCCAAGGCCGGGGCCGGATCCTGCCCCAAACCAGCCCAAGGTCAGCTCAGCGCCCGGCCCCAGCGTCCCAGGCTCGGGGCAGCCGCGCTGCCGGGACGGTTTGCTCCTGGCCGTAGGTTCCCCTCTGGAACGCCCCCCTCTCCCCAAAAGCCAAGCGGATGATGTCCCCAGCCTCCATGTCCCTGCGTGTGGTGGCACCGCCTCGACGCTGAGCTGGGAACCTGCTTCGGGAGGCTTGGCCAAGTCCCCTCCTCTCTTTGGGCCACGCTGCAGCGAACCCCCCCTCCCCCCAAATTAACAGCAAGAATAAAGCCTTTGGGTGATGCGTCACCCCAGGGAGGACTTGGGTGGGTGGCACCTTGGCTGCGGTGTCACCACCCTCCCTGCAGGCACCTGCACCGCTTGCCCCAGGGGGAGGGGGATCCCAGCAGGTCCCTAAAACTGGAGACCCTCTGGGTGTGCTGGGTGGGTGCCCCCCGGGGCTGGGGGAGTGCCCTGCCCCGGCTCTGGCACAGCGCGGGGCCAAGGATGCTCCGAGGGGTTCTGGGGTGTCAGGAGAGCGACGCTGCTTTGGGCTGCAGCGGTGCAAAGAAACCTCCCAAAGTCCCGTAAAGCCCGGGGTGCTGCGCAAACCTCCCATGGGGACCACCGCGGCCCCCACCCCAAAACAGCCCTGAATCAGTAAAAAGCAAGAAATAGCTGACGATGTCACCCACTTCCCCAAATCAGCGGCAGGGACAAACCCCCGAACGGGGAAGTGAGGCCGTTTTGGGATCCGCACGCCCCACACCAGATAAATAGTCCCTGAGCGGCGAGGGACAGGCGCCAGCCCCGATGCCACGGCTCGGGAGCCCACGCTGCTGGGGACACAGCCACTCCCAGGTAATGCCACTGCTCCGTGCGGGGATGGGGACAGCGGGGACAGGGACACCCGGGAGGGGGACACCCGGGATGGGGACACCCAGGATGGGGACACCCAGGATGGGGACACCTGGGATGTGGACACCCGGGACAGGGACACCCAGGAGGGGGACATCCAGGATGGGGACACCCGGGATATGGACACCCGGGACAGGGACACCAAGGACAGAACACCCAGGATGGGGACACCAGTGACAGGGACACCGAAAACAGGGACGTCTGGGACAGGGACACTTGAGATGGGGACACTCAGGATGAGGACACACAGGATGGGGACACCCGGGACAGGGACACCCAGGATGGGGACACCCAGGATGGGGACACCTGGGACAGGGACACCCAAAACAGGGACATCCAGGATGGGGACACCTGGGACTGGGACACCTGGGATGGGGACACCCGGGACAAGGACACCCAAAACAGGGACACCCGGGATGGGGACACCTGGGACTGGGACACCCGGGACGGGGACACCCAGGACAAGGACACCCAAAACAGGGACACCCGGGATGGGGACGCCCATACCAGGGGACACTCGGGACAGGGACACTGGGACGTGATGGAGCCTGAAGGGACCAACACCAGAAGTTTCCCCTCTGTGCTCAGCCCCAGCTGCCACATTTTTATGCTAAAATGGTGATTTTTACCAAAGCTGGAAGAAGTTAGAGATCCCCCTTGCACCGGTCCTGCGGCTGGGCCGGTGCCAGCTCAGGCCGAGCGTGACAGTGGGTGCGCTGGGGACCGTGGCAGGGTCTGTCACCGCCTCTTTTCCCCCCGTTTCCCCGGGTTTCTACATGTCCTTGCTGCGCTGGGGTTGGGCGATAACGCGTGACACCTCCCGCTCGGGCGCGTGTGGCGTGGCTGGCGCTGGGCACGCGTGCCCACGCGCCCCCGGCCGCCACCACAGCCGCTTTCGGTCCAGAAATCGGCTTGAATTCTGCTGAGCTGACAAGCAGCAGGGCCCCCACCGCGGGCTGCTGCCGGGGTGGGTGGGCAGAGGGGTGCTGGGGTCCCCACCCTGCACCGAGGGTCCCGCCGAGGCCACGCTGCCCAGAAACCGAAACCGGGTGATTTGAGGCAGAAGAAACGAAACTTGGTGTCGGCGGGGAGCGGACCCCGGCGCTGAGCCGGCGCTTCCTTCCTCCTTCGCCCCGAGCCCCGCAGCCCCCGACGAGCCCACGGGCTGTTTCTGGCCCCGGGGGGGGAGCGGGGTGGGGGTGTGATACCCCCCATGTGCACGGTCACCCAGGGGCCGGTTCATTTGGGTGCTTCAGTCTGGCCAGGAAAAATCCCCGGGCAAAGTAAATCTCTCACGAGTGCTTTGGAGTCTAAAATAACCTCCCTAAACTGAATGAGCAGCAAGCAAATTCGAAGCATATGTTGGAAAAAAAGGTGTTAGCAAAGCAGCAAATCCCTGTTTGAAGGAGGAAAAGGCTGGCTCAGGGAGTAAAGAGCTGCCTCGTTCCATATGAAAAGATATTTGGCAAGGCTGCGCGATAGAGGTCTAGATTGAAATCAATCAATTAATTGATTTCCATGATAATGAAAAAAAATTCAGAAAAAAAATATCCGGTTTCTCACTGTTTTTTGTTTTTTTTTTTTTTTTTTAAATTTTGAAAACATTTAATCAGTTTGCTTAGGTCTAGAGCTGCAAAAAGCCATTAAGCCCGTTAAAAAGGGATAAACCCTTTGTTAGGGCCATCCCAGGCAAAGGCACACCGCCGGAAAGCGGGGGCAGGCCCCGAAAGCTCCCGTTGCCTCCAGCCCCCTGCAGCCCGCGCTCGGCTCCGCGCACCTGCCTGCGTGCCCGCGGGGCTGCGGTACCGGGGCAGCCTGAACACGAGCTCTGTCCCTCTGCCCTGCGTCCCCCCCACCCCCAGACGCTCAGACCCCCCCGGATCTCGGCCGCTGGCCGTGAAGGATTTCTGCCTTCACGGGGATTTCCCCGAGAGCGCTTCTTTAGGATTACCTCTCCTCTTGATTTCAGGTATCCCCTCGCTTTCCTTTGCCCTCAGCTTTATTTTCAACCCAGACGCCGTAACCAGCATTTGCACAATCCCGTCCCGTGCCATGCTCACATTTTCATCGAATCATCAATTCCCCAGGTTGGGAGGGACCTCAGGGATCAGTTGGTCCAGCCTTTCTCGGCCAAAGCCCCCCCCAGAGAGGGTGGCCCAGCGCCCCGTCCCGCGGAGTCCTAAAAGTGCCCAAACTTGGGGAAAAATTTTCCGTGCCAGTGTTATCCTTCATTTCCTCCCCACATCACGCGGATGCGGCGAGCGCGTGACTAAGCTCCTTGTCACCCCACAGCAAAACCCGGACTTGCTCCTTAAGCTCCCGTGGGAGTTTGGGGGGGGGGGGGTCCCCTCCCTCTGCCCCCCGCCCGGCCCCGCTGCTCTCCTCCGGGATGCTCCCCGTGCACCCGGCGCGCTGCCGGCAGGATTTATCCCACCCGGACCGATGACGTGTCGACACGCGACGTGTTTCAAGGCTTTTGGCCAACCTCTTCTTCTCGTCAGGGTCCCCGCTGCCCAACGGTGACCGCGAAGACCGGCCGCCCCCCACCCTCGCGGCGTGAGCCTGCCCTGCCTCGGCCCCCGGGGACCCCCCCCCCTGCCCGGGGTGCTGCCATGCGCCTGCTCGTCCTCCTCGCCACCCTCGTCCCTCCAGGTAGGGTGTCACCGGGAGACCCTCTGCCACCGCTGTCCTCTCCCCGGCCAGGGGACCTGCCTGGATTTGTGCTGGGGTGGCGGGGAGCGCTCCGCTGCCGCCCTGGCGATGCCCGAGGGACGGGCGGGACGGCCCCCCGGGGATCCCCGAGCCTGCTCCTGGCTCTCCCGCGGGCCGTGGCACGGGGGATGCTCCGCGGAGAATCGCCGACACGCGTGGCAGCTCTGCCCGGGCCGTGGTGCCCACGGGATGGGGCTGGGCTGCGGGACGGGCTGGGCAGGGGGTGGCAGGGGGACAGCCAGGGAGTGAGAGAGGGGACAAGCAGACAGAGAGGGGCGCGAGGAAATAAGCTTTTGGAGGGCGAATTTTCCCTTTTTACTAGTTTATTAGGCCTTTGCTTTATAAATCAGGCTGCTGCCGTGTGCTGTCTGAAAGCACCACCCACAGCTCCAGCTTTTCCCTGTCATCTCCCCCTCCTCCAATTTGAAATTTTCTCCTGGTGGGGGGGTGGGTGTTTACCTCAAATCCCCACTCTCCTCTCCCACCTCCCCGCCTGCTCAGGCAGCTCCGGAGATGGGACAAAGCCCTCGTGGGTCCCAGGAGGGGAGCGGGAGGGGGGGGAGCGGTCATCCCCCCACCCTGACCCCCCCACCCCTCTCCCCCCCGTCTCCCCTCCGCCACAGCCCTCGGCTCGTGGGGGGTCGCCTACCCCGAGTCCCTGCGGGGCGTCAGGGGCTCCTGCGTGATGATTCCCTGCACCCTGAGCTACCCCGGGGACGTGGCGGCCGCCGACGGCATCGTGGCCATCTGGTACAAGGATTACAGCACCCAGAAGGTGCTGGTGTACCACTCGGCAGCCCAGGAGGTGGACGCTCGCTTCAGGGGCCGTGCCCAGCTCCTGGGGGACCCCGCCACCCGCAACTGCACCCTGCTGCTGCGGGGGGTGACGCCGGAGGACAGCGGGCCCTACAGATTCCGCTTCGAGATCGTCAACGGCGACCGGTGGTTGGCGATGCGGGAAGTGATGCTGAGCGTTTCGGGTGGGTACGGTGGGGAGGACCCCCGCCCCGCCTTCCTCCTCCTCCAGCTCCCTGCCCGCCCCACGCAGACACCCCGCCCTCGGCTCTCCATCCCCAGACGACCTCGAGCACCCGAGCGTTGCCGCCAGCGAGGAGCAAACCGAGGGGCAAACGTCGACTTTGGAGTGTTCCACACCTTACGGCTGCCCGCCGGGCGACGTCGCCCTGCGCTGGGAGGGCTACGACCCCCAGGTCTCGACGGTGTCCGGCCGCGTCCGGCTGGACACGAACGAGGTCAGCCAGCGCCTGACCCTCACCACCTCCTTCTCCTGGAAGGACCACTCCAAAAAACTGCTCTGCCAAGTCTCTTACGGCTCCAGGAGGGCGAGCGGGGAGGTCGTCCTGCGGGTGAGACGTACGTGGGGCGGCTCTGCACAGGGGCGGGGGGACGGGGGCACCTCTGCCACGGCCACCCCACCCAGGTCCCCATCCTGCCACCCACCACGCCTCCTCCCTTCCCTCCTTCCAAAAACCCGGAGAAGTTTCCTCCTGCTTCTCCCTCCCTCCCCAGTTGCCCCTTGGCTCTTCACGGCCAGAGCCGGTGTCGGTCCCATAAACCAGCTCCAGCTCCGTGGCCCATCCCAGTCCCCGCCGCTGCGCCCACCCCTCTGTGCCGCCGGCGTGGCGGCTTTGCCCCCCCCTTTCCCAGCTCCCCTTTCCCCCCACACCAGACCCCCCGCACGCCCCACGGGTGCCAGCCTCACCGCTCCCCCCCCCCCACCCCGCGCCTGTCCGTCCTCCCCGCAGACGCCCCTAAGGACGCCCAGGTGTCGGTCGACCCGCCCGCGCAGAACATCCGCGTGGGCGACGCGGTGTCCCTCACCTGCGAGGTGAGCAGCAGCTACCCCCCGATCTCGGGGTACCGCTGGTACAAGGACGGGGTGGCCGTGGGCAGCCGGCGGGTCCTGGCCCTGCGGGACATTCGCCGCACGGACTACGGGCAATACCACTGCGAAGCCGAGAACGCTGTCGGGGCCGGCGCGGCGCCCGCCGTGATGCTCTACATCTTCTGTAAGTGCCGGCGGGGCTTGGCCGAGGCCGGGGTGTCGCTGGAGGGGGGAGTGGGGCTGTGGGAGTGGGAAGGAGTTTCCCCAGTGGGTCTGGACTGCAGTGGGCAGCGCTTGGCACCAAGGTGGCCGGTCCAGGCTGGTGGAAATTGTTATAAATAAACGTGGCAATTTCTGGTCCGAGAGCTCGGTGGGTGGGGGGGGGACTGTGGTGCTGGCATTGTGCTGGGCTGTGGCGAACCCCAAAACCAGGGCAGGGCGGGATTTCCAGCCAAGGCTGCGAGGCTTCGCTGCTGGGAAGGGGGTTGCGAGAGCTGACGGGGGGCGCAAAGCTGGGACCCTCCACCAGATCCCGCAGTGGAAAGAATCACCCAGGAGCTGCCCGTGTGGGGGGCCCACAGAGAGCATGACCCCCCCTGTCCTGGTGCAGGCGGGGTCAGTGTGGTGTGTGTGTCCCCCCTCCCCGTGATGCTGCTGCACCCGCCTGGGGCTTTGCGCTAAAGCCCGAACTCGAACGCCAGCTGGCAAAGTGCTGGTGGCAGGGAACAAACCCAAACGCCTCCTGCCTCCGTTGTCATCCTGGGGGGGGGGCAAGGGGGGGCTCCCACCTGCCCCCACAGGGATGGGGTGGGGAGGATTGGGGGGGGGGGTGCAGCTCTCCTGCCTCCCCAGCCGCCCTGACCGCGGTCCCGTCTCCACCAGCTGCGGAGATCTCGGTGAGCCCCGCGGCTGAGGTGCGGGAGGGGACGGCCACCACCTTGTCCTGCGACGTCCCTGGCCGGGGGGGCCAGGACCTCAACTACACGTGGTACAAGAACGGGGCCTGGCTGGAGGAGGGCACGGCGCACACCCTGTTCTTCCCCCACGCTGCCGCCAGCGACGCCGGCTTTTACTCCTGCAAGGTGACAAACGACCGGGGCAGCGACACGTCCCAGCCCATCACCCTGAGCGTGACGTGTGAGTGCCTACAGCTCCTGCCAAGGGGGGGTCCCCGCTAGATGAGGGTCCTTTCAGGCTGTGCAAACCCCGCCACCCCCCCCGGAGTCAGAACCAAGTCTGCCTCAGACGCCTCGGGTCCGGTTGGAAGAGGGGGTGATCAGCCCTCCTGGGTAGAAATGGCCAGAAAGGCAACAATTTTGGGTGGTGAGCTGCGTTTGGAGGTGCTGAGAAGGGGGGTTCGCTGCAGCAGCTGCTCACCGGAGCGCCTCCCGCTCCTCCACCCGCCGGTTACACCCCACAACCTGCTGGGAGGTTCCCAGCCGAGGAGCCGGCTACGGGAATAACAGCCCCGGAGCTTTTGCAAGTCCCGGGAAAAAAAATCAAACAGCCCTGGGGTTTGGCTTTGACATTTCTGTGGGTGAATATAACCGGCTTACGTCGGGGGGGGAAGCAGCTCGGGGGAGCGGCTGGGTGGCTCACGGCGGGGGGTCGCGGCGCGATGTGCAGCTTGCGGCGGCCGCAGCACCCTCTCCCCTCCCGCAGACCCCCCCCGGCCCCCCGCCGTCACCCTCTTCCAGGAGACGCCGGGCGGCAGGCTGGCCGTCATCCGCTGCGCCGTGGACAGCCACCCCCCGGCCACCATGGCCCTTTACCGCGACGGCACCTTGCTGGCGGCCAGCAGCTCGGCGGGGGCCCCGCGCCCGCGGCCCGGCCTCACCGTCACCCCCAACAGCCTGCGGCTGGAGATCCGCGGCGCGGGGCCGGGGGACAGCGGGGAGTACCGCTGCACGGCCAGCAACGCCTACGGCAACGCCAGCGCTGCCAAGCTCTTCGTCGCCCGCGGTGAGTCCCGCCGAACCCCCCGGGGATGGTCAGGCTGGGGTGTCTGGGGAGGGGGGCACATGGCCCTGAGAGCCGGAGGGACCCGCGTGGCGCTGGGGGACATCGGGGTCTTGGGGATGACGTGGTGGCCGTGCCCTCCCCTTCCCCACCTCGGGGGGTCAAAGGTGCTCACAGCGTTGGAGGCACCTCTGAGGTTTGGTTTGGTTTGGTTTGGTTTGGTTTGGTTTGGTTTGGTTTGGTTTGGTTTGGTTTGGTTTGGTTTGGTTTGGTTTGGTTTGGTTTGGTTTGGGGGTTTTTTTGTTGTTGTTGTTTTTTTGTTTTTTTTTTTTTTTCAAAATGCCGCAAAAGCCGCAGCAAAGTTTTTCTTCCGTGTCCCTGCAAGCCCCCGGCGGTGCGTGGCACCTGGGCACACAGCGGGGACCGGCTCCTGCTCCGTCCCCTCACCCTCCGCACCCTCCCGCTCCCCAGCCTTGAGGATTTGGGGAGACAGGAGGAGAAGGAAACTCCCCCCCAAAACCATGTCCGAGAAGAACCACCCTTAGGATGTCCAAAGAAACCAAAGGGCACCTCAGGGTCCAATTCCAGAGAAAATAAACCTGAGTTTGGGTGCCACAGGGATTAATCGGGGGCCGTTTCAAGTTGCCCCAGGTGCCCCCAGCCCAACCCAACCGCCGGCGCTTGGGGAGGGCGGGGGGAGGCTCAGGAAAGGCCCCGTTTGTCTTAAAACCCGGGGTGAAGGGCTGGTCTGGAGACATCCCAGCTGACACCCGGTGTCCCCAGGGAATGTCACCCACCAAAGGCGCAGCCACTGACGCGAGGGAGAGGGCTGCTCCGGGTCCTGCTTCGGGGGGGGGGGGGGGGGGGGGGGCTTTGGTGGGATGGAGCCAGGGGAAGGGGCGCAGGTTTGGGGCAGAGCCCTCCCCTCCCTCCCTGACATCCCTCTCCCATCCCTCCTCCAGCGACCGAGGTCCTGATCCAGCCCTCGGCCGAGGTGCGGGAAGGGGAACCTGTCACCCTGACCTGCCTGGGGGCCGGGGGGGGCGGCGGGGGAGACCCTCTACGCCTGGTACAGGAACGGCAAGAGGCTGCCGGAGAGCTCGGCCCCGACGCTGAGCTTCCCCTCCGTCCGCGGCGAGGACGCCGGCGCGTTCCAGTGCGGGATCCAGAGCAGCGACGGCAGCGGCGCCTCGGCGGCCGTCCCGCTCCGGGTGCTGTGTGAGTGCTGCCGGGGGGGCCCCCCACCCCAACAGCCGGGCTGGAGGGGGGGCGGGGGGGAGCTGGGTGGTCCCGCTGGGAAGCCCCTCTGCCGCTCCCACCCGGAGGTTCCCCCCCGTCACCGCCGAGCACTGCTAAGGAGCTCCTGAGTGGGAAAAGGCAGAAATTTCCCCTTCACAGGTAAATCTGTGAATCCGGGGTGGGGGGGGGGGAGGAATTCGGAGAATCCCAACATTCCCAAGAACCAAAGAGTTTTCAAATGTCCTGTGAAATTGAATTCAATTTCTCAGAACATTAAATGATCCCCGTGTAAAATATATTGCGGTTGGATTTTGCCTTCCAAGTATTTTCTGTGCTGTAAAATAAAAACTTTCCCTGATACCAAACCAGGAGAAACACCGTCGGGAAGTTTCATTCCTGACCAAATGGCATTTTTCCGTAGTCACGGTAGGAAATGTGGGTCCCAGCTGCTCCCCAGATGCCCGAACCCCTGGGGTCTCTGCAGGCCTGCCCCAAGGGTTGGGGTAGGGTCGGACGCCTGCACCGGGACCCTGAGCTCCAGCCGGGTGACAACTGAGGAGCCAGGGACACGCAGGTCCCTTGCAGAGATCGGGCAGATGCGGGACCCTGGGGTCTGGCAGCTGGAGGGGCTTGGGATGCCCAGCAATCCCCCCCAGGTTTTGGGGTTCTCCCAACCTCAGGAATCCATGACAATCTCACCAGAGGGGTTTCCACCCTGCAGTCCCGCCGAGGCCACCGGTGATGAGCTCCTTCCTGGACACCCAGGGCGGGCGCCTGGGCATCATCCAGTGCACCGCCGAGAGCGACCCCGAGGCCAACCTGACCCTGTGGAGGGGGGGAGAAGCGATAGCCTGCACGCGGGGCTGCCCTGCGGCCCCCCACCCCAGGGTCCACGCCACCTCGACCTACAACAGCCTGAGAGTGGAGATCCGGGACGTGGTGCTGGAGGACGAAGGGACCTACCTGTGCTGGGCTGGGAACCCCCAGGGCAACGCCAGCTCGACTGTGGAATTTAGGGCTGAGAGTGAGTGTTGGGGGGCGGCGGGGGGGCGGATGGAGCCGGGTGCCACACACCCCCACAGGAGCGGGGGAGGCTGGGGAGGGGATGTCGGGGAAGGAGACGAGCTCAGGAGGGGAAGGGCGGTGGGGGGCCGACGGGCAGAACGGTTTCAGGTGAAATCCGGGGTATCCAACCTCGACAGAGCTGCTGTGACCGAGTCGCCTGGTGCTGGGGTGGGGGTTAAAGTGGGGGTTGCTATGGGGGGGGTGGGGGGCAGCTGAGCCAGCCCGCCCCAGCCTCCTCTGGCGGGTTTGGAGGGCTCCCCATGGCCATAGGGAGGGTTCCAGCTCCCTGCTGACCCCAGCCTGTGTGTGACCGGGAATGCTGAGGGACTTGGGGCTGGTGTGGCCCTGGGGGGGCCGGTACCCCACGGTGTCTGGAGCTCGGAGCTGTCCCCATCACGGCGTAGCGGGACGAGCCAGCGTTTGTTTGCCTTCTGGAATAGACACAAAGTCACTTGCTGGCTGGCTTGCCCCGGCGTTGGGGTTCCCCCCGGCGCGGCCGAGGCGGCGCTGGCCACCCTGGCTGGGTCCGTGCCGGAGCCTGTTTGCCTCCTGCCTCTCCCCGCAGCCGCCAGCATCGCGGTTTCTCCGTCCTCGCACGTGCTGGAAGGCCACGCCGTCAACCTGACCTGCCGGCTGAGCAGCATCTCCCCGGCTCTTCCCAACATCTCCTGGTACCGAAACGGGCAGCGGCTCGCCCAGAGCTCGGCCACCTCCTTGGTCTTTGGGCAAGTGGCCAGCGCGGACGCGGGTCTCTACCGCTGCAGAGCCACCGTCGCCGGCCGCGGCCGGAGCTCGCCCGCCGTCTCGCTGGACGTGCTGTGTACGTACGGGTGGGGGTGGTGGTGGTGGGGGGACACGACACACGGGTGGTGCGTTGGGACGTGGGGTTTGTGGCTGGTGGCCGTGGGTGCGCGGGGGGAGCATCTCCATGCCCCCCCCCGGCGGGGTTCCTCCCGCGGGCGCCCAGGGCCACCCTCTGCGTGCGCCCAACGCGGGGGCGTGCGACCCTGCGGGTGTAAAGCTTCCAGACCGGGGGGGGGGGGGGCGGGCGGCGCTGGGTGGGATAGCACTCCCCGAAAAGCCCGGGAGGGTGGGTGCTGTGCGCCTGGGACAGTGTGGTCACCCCAAGGATGCTGTGCTCCCCCTGGATCTGGCAGGGCCTTGGCTAGCAGAGAACTTCCCCTTCCCTTTCCCCTTCCCTTTCCCCTTCCTTTTACCCCTTTCCCTTCCTTTTTCCCCGTCCCCTTCCTTTTTCTCCTTCCTCGTCCCCTTCCTCTCGCCCTTTCCTTTCCCCTTCCTTTTTCCCCTTCCCCTTCCTTTTTCCCCTTTCCCTTCTCTTCCCCTTCCCCATCCCCTTCCTTTTTCTCCTTCCTTGTCCCCTTCCTCTCGCCCTTTCCTTTCCTTCCTTTTTCCCCATCCCCTTCCTTTTTCCCCTTCCCCTTCATTTTTGCCCGTCCCCTTCCTTTTTCTCCTTCCCCCTCCTGTTCCTCTTGCCCTTCCCTTTCCCCTTCCTTTTTTCCCTTCCCTTTCCCCTTCCTTTTTTCCCTTCCCTTCCCTTCCCTTTCCCCTTCCTTTTTTCCCTTCCCCTTGCCCTTCCTCTTGCCCTTCCCCTTCCTTTTTCCCCTTCCCTTTCCCACTTCCCCTTCCTTTCCCCTTCCCCAAGGGATGCAGTTTTTCCCTCTCTTTCTGGGTGACTCCGTGCCGGGGAGCGATAGCTGTGTGACCCCCCCCCCCCCATTCCCTGCCCCGCGCAGACCCCCCGCGGGACCCCCACTTCACGGCCTTCCTGGAGACGGAGCGAGGCCGCCTGGCCATCTTCCAGTGCTCGGTGGCCAGCAACCCTCCGGCCGAGCTAGCCCTGCACCGGGGCGAGGAGCTGGTGGCCACGGGGGCCGGGGGGAGCAGCCCGCGGGTCAGCGCCTCGGCCACCCCCAACACCCTGCGGGTGGAGGTGCGGGAGGTGACACCGGCGGACGAGGGCAGCTACAGCTGCACCGCCACCAACGCGCACGGCGCCGCGTCCCGCCGCCTGTACTTCCGCGTGCAGAGTGAGTACCGCGCGCCGGCGGCCAGCCTAGACCCGCCGGAGGGGTGGGTGACACTGGGGGGGGGGGGGTGGATCAGGAGGGAGGGGACACGAAATGTTCCCCCCTCCGGCAGCTCGCCAGCGGGTGGGACGGGGTGTCCCCATCGCTGCTGGGAGCGGGGGGAACCCCGGGCAGGGGTTTGGTGTGATGAGCTGGTCTGTGCTGGGGGGGCTGGGGGGGCGTTTCTGGCTGGGGGTGGCTAACCAGCACCCAGCCCCCCTGCCCTCTGCGCCCAGCCCCCGGGGAGGGGGGTGGGGGGGGAGCGGTTAGTGGGAATCCTGGGCTGCATCCGCCTCGTGGGTTGGGATCCATCCCTGATCGATCCGAACGTGGCTCCGTGGGGGTGTCCAAGTGGGAGCCGGTCTCTGCGCACCCACCCAGTGCCGCTGGATCCCACCCAGGCTCCGGGTGCTGCTCGGGGCGGGGGGGGGTGGGCACCCCCCCTGCCCAGACACCCGATTTCAAACGCTTCATCCCTGGGCACCACAGGTGATGGAACTGGGGGGGCTGTGGGCTCACGGGAACAGGGAGCAACGAGTTTTTCTTAAAAAGAAATGTCTAGTGCCAGCCCCCCGGGGTTGCGAGGGTCCCCGGTCAGAGCGAGAGCACCGCAACGTGCCGGAGGTGATGGGGGGGTTTGCCGCCGTCCCACGCCGCGCCGGGGCCGCCCAGTCTGAACTGGTGGTGTCACCTCTCCGCGGCCCAGCGGCCCAGGTCCTCATCTCACCATCCGCGGAGGTGCGGGAAGGAGACGACGTGTCCCTGAGGTGCCAAGTGGCGGGGGAGCCGCGGGGCGACACCGTCTACTCCTGGTACAAGGACAGCCGGTGGCTCCAGGAGGGCCCCGAAAACCTTCTGGAGCTGCCCCGCATCGCCAGCGCGGCCGCTGGTTCCTACCACTGCCGAGCCCACAGCCCCGCGGCGACCAGCGTCTCCCCAGCCGTCGCCCTGCGCATCTCCTGTGAGTGGGGGCCCTCCTGGGAATTGGGGCAGGGGGTGGGATGGTGCTTGGGGGTGGGATGGTGCTGGGACAGTGCCAAGGATGGTGCTGGGGTGGTGCTGGGGTCATGCCAGGGATGGTGCTGGGGATGGTGTCAGGGATGGGACAGTGCTGGGGTGGTGCTGGGGGTGGGATGATTCTGGGGATGGTGCTGGGGGTGGGATGGTGCTGGGATAGTGCCAAGGATGGATCTGGGGTGGTGCTGGGATGGTGCTGGGGATGGGACGGTGCTGGGGGTGATGCCGGAGGTGGGATGGTGCTGGGGGTGGGATGGTGCTGGGGTAGTGCCAAGGATGGTGCTGGGGGTGGGATGATTCTGGGGATGGTGCTGGGGTGGTGCTGGGGTCATGCCAGGGATGGTGCTGGGGATGGTGTCAGGGATGGGACAGTGCTGGGGTGGTGCTGGGGGTGGGATGATTATGGGGATGGTGCTGGGGGTGGGATGGTGCTGGGATAGTGCCAGGATGGTGCTGGGGTGGTGCTGGGGTGGTGCTGGGGATGGGACGGTGCTGGGGGTGATGCCAGAGGTGGGATGGTGCTGGGGGATGGTGCTGAGGAAGGTTCTGGGGTGGTGCTGGGGATGGTGCTGAGGAAGGTTCTGGGGTGGTGCTGGGGATGGGACGGTGCTGGGGTGGTGCTGGGGATGATGCCGGAGGTGGGATGGTGCTGGGGATGGTGCTGGGGATGGATGGTGCTGGGGATGGGATGGTGCTGGGGATGGTGCTGGGGATGGTGCTGGGGGTGGATGGTGCTGGGGATGGGATGGTGCTGGGGATGGTGCTGGGGGTGGGACGCTGAGCAGGGCTACTTGGCTGACCCCTTGCACAGCCCTCGCTGCTGGTTCTGTCCCCAAACGCCGCGTGTCCCTCGCAGAGGAGGGGGCTGGGTTTGAACTAGAGCTCTGCAGGCTTTGGAATGGAGCATCCTCTGCCCTTAGAAAATGCCAAAGTGCTAAAAGCGGGAGGTTTGCAGGAGCAGATCTCCCCAATAAACCCCAGGTCTGAATAAACCCCACCCGGTCGGTCACATCCCCCCTCAAGCAGAACTTTATCATGAGAAGTGCAGTGCCTGCGCCACATCTCACCTGCCTGCCCTGTGGCATAAAAAGGGGGAAAAAAAATGCAGTGACAAGTATTTTGGTCTGTTAAAACATGTTTCAACTGACGTGAAATCACTCGCGTTTTTCAAGCCTTCAGTTTAGGGGAAATAAGTTTCTGAGGTCGAGGGGAAAATCATGGAAAGGGCAAGTCTGGCTTCGGCTTCGCCGCAACCCCTGGGCTGCTGCCGCGCTGGTGCTTGCCCCGATGCCAGGAGCTGCTGCAAACACCTCGGGGTGTCCGAGGGGGCTGGGGAGGGCGATGCAGCCCAGGTCCTGGGTGGGGAGGGGACCCCTCCCGGGCTGGAGCTGGGGGCAGACAGCCCGGTCTCGGGGCGGGGGGGCTCTGGGTGCAGGCTCAGGGTTTGCTCCCCGCTGTCTTGCCTGGGCAGATCCCCCCCGGGCGCCGGTGCTGACCTTCCTCCTGGAGCCCCCCGAGGGGCAGTGGGGTGTCCTGCAGTGCACGGTGGACAGCAGCCCGCGGGCAGAGCTGGCCCTTTTCAAGGACCGGGCTCTGGTGGCTTCCACATCGTCGGCCCGGGCCACCAACCCGCCACGGGTCACCGTCACCTCGGCCTTCAACACGCTGCGGGTCAGCATCCGCCCCGTGCTGCTGGAGGACGAAGGGGAGTACGTGTGCTCCGCCGGCAACACCTACGGCAACGCCAGCGCGGCCGCAAACTTCACGGCGGGCGGTGAGTGCGGGGCTGGAGCTGGCGGCGCTGGGGCTGGGGAGCGATGGAGGGAGAGGGTTCTGGTGAAGGGGGGGGGGGGGAGGAGAGCGCTACCGGGGGGTGCCGGTGGGGCAGGGAGGGGGAGCGAGAAGCTGGAAGAGGGGGGACGGCGCAGAAACGGGGGAAGCGGAGGGAGGTGTGTGTTTATGGGGAGGGAGGGCTATGCCAGGGCGTGCCAAGGAACCGCAGCTCCTCTCGGAGCGGGTGCGAAGGGCTGGCTCTGCCCTGTCCACCCGTGACACCGTCCCGGCCGTGGTCGCAGGGGCAGGGAGGGTTGGCGGCGAGGGAGGGGGGCTGCAGCATCTTCACCACTCCTCGTCTGTCGGGAAAAGAGCCCCGAACTAACTCCCGGAGGAGAGCAGCTCCCCCACGGCGCAGCCCACCGCCGCCGAGTACCCCCCCGAGCATCGCCACCTCCTTCCCCCCCGCAGCTGCCAGGGTCTGGATCTCCCCTTCCCCAGACGTCCGGGAAGGCGAGGCCGTCAACCTGACGTGCGGGGTGCGGAGCGGCGGCGGGGAAGCGCTGAGCTACACCTGGTACAAGAACCGGGTCTGGTTCGGCTCCGGCGCGACGCCGGCCCTCGCCTTCCCCAGCGTGGCGGCCGCCGACGCCGCTTCCTACCACTGCTCCGTGCGGACCCCGGCGCGGAGCCACAGCTCTGCCCCCGCCACCCTCAACGTCCTCTGTGAGTCCCCCACGACGCGGGCAGCGGGGCTCGGGCTGCGGGCTGGGGAGGGGGGATCCCCGCTGCCAGGACCACCCCCCCCGCCCAGCCAGGCAGCGCTGCAGGGAGGTCCCGCGGGGCGTCACCCGTCCCCTTGGTCCCTCGGCTGGGAACCCCCCTGGGGTATGGGCTGGAGGGGTGGGAGGTAGCAAGGCCCAGCTTAATTTTAAGCGGGGGCTGGATAAAAATGAGCCTTTGTCCCAAGGGAGAGCTAAGCCCAGCTTTACACCCAGTCCTGTCTCAGAGCCCCGGCAAGCAGACCCGGCCAAACAGCCCCACGGCGGCTGCAGGAGATTTCGGCGAAGCTTCCCCAAGTTTGTCCTTAAGCTTGGTACCAAACTGAAGCAGAAAAATCTTTGGCTTTCGGGAAACGCTGCAGTATTTTTTTTTTTTATTATTATTTTTATTTTTTCTTGATTTGCAAAATGAAAACCAGACTTTGTTTAAAAAAAGACGTGCAAAACCCATGTAGTCGCAAGTCAGAACATAAGATTTTTTTTTTTTTTTTATTAGAAAAAGACGGCTTTAACTTATAAATCTGCTGTGAGGAGTGAGTGTGGAGAAGCACTCCTGGAAACATCTTCCAGAGAGCCTGAGACCCCGGCAAACAAATCCCAATCCCGGCAACAAATCTGTTGCTTCTCTCCCTCCTCCTGATTTCGGATGGGGAATGCCGGGTGGTAAAATATCTCGGCGCTATGGGCCCGAGCTGCACCCTGCGTCGTGCTGCCTTCGCACAAGCCTCGCTGTCGAGGTTTGCACGCTCCGACGTGCGAAGGGTATTTTTTTTATTAAGGCCGGGGTGTGAGCGGAGCAGCGGGCTGGGCCGGCGTGGCCGGAGCTGCGGGATAGAAATGAGCTCGGGAAATGCCCCCGCGCCCTGGTTTTGGGGACGGTTTGGGTCAAGGAGACCGCGGGCGCTGCGGGCAGCGGCTGAGCATCGCGGCCTGGGGATGCTGCGACCCCCCCAGATGCTGCTCATCCCACAGCTCCCCCCCCCACCTTTTTCCCTCCCCGCAGACCCTCCCCGGAACCTGCAGATGAAGGCTTTCACGGAGAGCGGCGAGGGGACGGCAGTCATCCTCCTCTGCGCTGTGGAGAGCAACCCCCTGTCTGAGATCACCCTGCTCAAGGGGGGGCAGCCGGTGGCCTCCAGCCCCCCCGCGGGGGGTGACCACCACCCCGGGCAGAGCGGCCACATCTCCCCCGCTCCCAACGCGCTGCGCCTGGAGCTCCGCAAGCCCTCCGAGGAAGATGAGGGCGAGTACGAGTGCCGGGCCCGTAGCCCCCTCGGCAGTGCCAGCATGTCTGTGCCCCTCCGTGTGTGGGGTGAGTCCGGGGCGGGGGGGGGGGGGGGAACACACACACGAGGGGGGTGTGGGGATGGTGTGGGCAGCGAGGGGTACGCCCCAAATGGGTGTTGGGCAGCAGAGCATCGGGGTGTGGGGGGGGTCAGGGCGAGGAAGCGCTGCGGGTGGGCACCCACCCCACGCACGCACCCCGCTGTGGGGGGGGACGGACACAGGGGCTTGGGCGCCTTTTCCTGGAGGAGGGCGAACGTCGTGCGGGCGAGGGGCCAGCTCCTCTCCGCTCTCCCCAGGGGTCAGCGTCGTGGTGCGACCCTCCGCCGAGGTGCCCGAGGGGACCGACGTGACACTGACCTGCCGGGCCGGGGGGGCCCCCCCGGGGACCCTTTATATCTGGTCCAAGAACGGGCGGTGGCTGGCGGAGGGGCCCGGGGCCACCCTCGCCCTCCCCGGGGTCCAGCGCACGGATGCGGGTGCCTACGGCTGCCAGGCGGGGAGGGGGGTGCGCGGCCGCCGGGCCCCCCCCGCCGCGCTCAGGGTGCTCTGTGAGTGAGGGGCGGCTGCATTTGGGGTGAGGGGGGAAGGAGGGACCGCCCCCCCCCGACACACGCACATCCCCACCCCCCCAGCCCCCCCGGGTCCTTGCGGGGCGCGGCGCAAAGGCGGGAGGCGGCCGCGCTGCCGTTGGGAGGGGCGGTCTATGTCGCCACCTGGTGACATCCCGCGACAGGACCGCGACAGTTGGTGGTCGGCCGGGCAGCGCAGACCCTGTTCTGGAGGGGTGAGGGTTGCGGGGGGGTGTGTGTGTGTGTGTGTCTCCCAGGCGCTGCCGGGTGTCGCATCGCACCTCCATTCTTCAGCCAGCAGCGAACGTGTCACCCCCTCCAACCCCAACCCCACGGGAGGGACGGTCCCTTGCCACCGCGGGGCGGGGTGGGGGGGGGATAAACACTATCCCTGTCCTCGCAGATGCCCCCCAGGAGCCATCCTTCATCTCCCTGGTGGAGCCCCGGGGGGGGCAGCAAGCCGTCCTGCTCTGCACCGTCGACAGCTTCCCACCCTCCGACATCGCCCTGCACCGGGGGCCCGGCCACGCGCCTCTGGCCTCCACGCAGGGACCGGCCGACCCACGTTTCACCGTCCAGGCGACCCCCAACTCCCTGCGGGTGGGGCTGGGGGGGCTGGGGCCGGGGGACGCGGGGCTCTACGTCTGCTCGGCCAACAACAGCTACGGCACCGCGGCCTCGTCCCTGCGCCTGGACGTGGGAGGTGAGGGTGCCCACGGGGTGCCCCGTGTCAGGGTGCCCGTGGGCCCTCCCGTGGGCGCGTGGCTCTTGGGAGCTTTTGCAGGGGGGGCTGGGGGATGGTGTTTTCCCGTGTAAACCCAAGCCCTGCGCAACCCCACCCCCCCCCAGCCGCTGACTTCCCGGCTTCCCTCCTCTTCCTCAGGGGTCACAGTCACGGTTGAGCCCTCGGCAGAAGTCCCCGAAGGCACCACAGCCACGGTGACCTGCTCGGCCGTCCCGTGGGTGGGCGAAGAGGCCAACTACACCTGGTACAAGAACAGCCGGTGGCTGCGGGAGGGACCGGCCGGTTCCTTCGTCCTCACCCCCGTCTCCAGCGCCGACGCCGGCTCCTACCGCTGCCGGGCGAGCGGGGCGCGGGGCAGTGCCACCTCGGCCCCGCTCAGCCTCCGCGTGCTCTGTGAGTGTCCCCCGGCCCCGCGGGGCAGGAGCCAGCGTCACACGCATCCCCTCCGCACCGTCCTGCTGCGCCGAGGGGGCCTTCCTCCTCTTCTTCCTCCTCTCCTTCCCCTGCGCCTCTCCGGGGAAGAGGACGTCAGGGTTTTGTCTAGCAGCGGCTGCAGATTCCCCTCGGCAGTCAGATTTAAAGCCAATGTGCTCCAGGCTGGGGCGGGGGGGGGGGACGGACACACACTGTCCAGATGTGTGGGGGGGTGGGAAATGAAGGGCTGGGGAGGGTGGAAACCCGCCGGCCCTGGGCTGGGCGCGCCGGAGCTGATCCAACCTGGAGGAGGGATGCGCTAGCCCTTGGCAAGCATCCGGGCCAGTGTGTGTGTGTGTGGGGGGGGGGCGTGGGGGGTGTCCCACGCCATGGCCCACCGCCAGCCCCTTCCTCCCCCCACGCAGACCCCCCCCGGGACGTGTCGGTCAGCACCTTCCTGGAGAACCGCAGCGGGCGGGTGGGCATCGTGCTGTGCACGGCCGACAGCCACCCGGCTGCCACCATCGCCCTGTACCGCCGCGGCCAGCTCCTGGCCTCCAGCCGGAGCCCAGCCACCGCGCCGGGGGTCCGCGCCTCCCCCTCCCACAACACCCTCCGCCTCGACCTGGGGGCCGTGGGGCCGGAGGATTCGGGGGAGTACGTCTGCGTGGCCGGGAACCCCCTGGGCAACGCCACGGCCGGCGCCTACTTCGACGTGCACAGTGAGTGAGGGTCCCTCCCATACCCCCCCCCCCAACCCCGGGGCAGGGAGGATTGGTGGGGAACAGGGAATTGTGTCCAAAAAAAAAGATTTTAGAGCGGTGGGGCTGACGGGCAGAAGTGGGTTGAATCGGCCACAGGTCTTTAGGTAGGTGGGAAAAAAGGGAGGGTTTTACAGTGAGAATTGGGTATTTCCTCTCAAGGCACTTTTCTCCCCAAGAAGCCCTGGCTGATTTTTGTGAAAGGGTTAAAAAAGCCCCCTCCCCAGAAACAGAAAATTGAGTTGAATGCTGCAGAATGCTATTAAAAAAAAAAAAAAAAAAAAAAAAAAAGTGAGGAGGAATTGGCTTGAGTTTGACAAACACCAAAACGGGGTGCTGGCGCTTGTCGCTGTGCTGGGTGACCCCCCCCCCGCCCCCTCCCTGCCTGTCCCCAGGCGCTGGCAGGGGACAGGACACTGCCCAGCTTGGGGTGGCACACAGAATCCTGCCAGCTTGGTGCAGGGGACGGTGACGTGGGCAGGGGCAGTGAGTGTCCCCGCCTGGTCCCTGTGGGGTCCCAGCGTGGTGCCCTGCCACCCTGTGACCCCCCCCCCCCCCACCCGCTTGTCCCCCATCTCCAGCCAGCTGTCACGGGGTCCCTTTCACCCCTCACAAGCCACCCCAAGATCTAAGGGGGGGGGTCCCACATACACTGAGCCCACACCAGGGCCGTGCCGCAGCTGCAGCCGTGGGGAGAAGCATCAGGGGGAGGCCACCCCTTACCCCCAACCCCCCCCCCCCAAAAAAGTGCTCCCCACAGCCCGCTGCGGCGTCGCCGAGGCGGCAGCCCCGGTGGGGATCTGCCCCGGCTCCCTCTGCCCACAGCGCTCACCCACCTCCTGCTCTTCACCGTCCTGGCCGGGCTGCTCGTGGCCGCGATCTGCGTGGCCACCCTGGCCCTCCTGGCTGTGAAGATGTGGCCCAGGTAATGTCCCTAGCTGGGCCGGGGATGGGAGGGGGGGGACAGGGACCCCGGGATGAGCCAGGTGGTGGCGGGGGGGGGGGGGGTGTGACAGCTCCTTCTCCTCCCTTCCAGGATAAGGAAGTTTTGGGGCTGGTCCGGTGCCGAGGACACCTTCGAGCTGCGGAGCAAACAGGAGCAAGCGCAGGTAGGGACCGCGGTGGGGCTCAGTTTGAGGACACCCCCCGCCCACCACCCCCTCCCCGACCTCCCGGGGGATCCCCGTGGTGGTGGGGGGGGTGTCCGTGGGGTGCTCTGTGCTGGAGAACACCTCAGTGCTGCCCCCAGCACAGGGCTGGGCTCACGCACCGGGCAGGACCTGGCCCAGCCAGGCTGTTCCGTGCCGCCACCGCAGCCCTGGCTGCCCTTGCCGGAGCCGGGCAGAGCCGAAGGGGCCGAACCTCGTCAGGACCAGAATTACCCCTTGCAGGCTCGTCCCAGCGGGGCTTCAGGGGTGCTGATCCCTCCGGGCGATGCTCGGGGTGCTCCCCTGGGGTTCCCCAACCAGCCCCAACCTTTTCCAGGTGGATGGAGCTTCCTAAACCGGTGGCTCTCTGGACCTGGAGCAACTGTAGGAGCCGGCGCTGGAAGCGCACAGCCCTGACCTGGCTGGATCCAGGCAGCCTCCTCCCTGGGGATAACCCAGCGCCATCCCCGTCTCCTCCCAGCCCCCTCTGCCCCTCTCCTCTCCCGCCGTGCCCCTCGTCCCTCCCCGCCGTGGATGTTGTTCTCACGCCGGGCACGGTTCGTGCTCGCCGCCGCGCCTGGTGCGCCACGCGTGCCAGGCACCGGCAAGCTGTGACGGCTCAGAGCTGCTCTCCAGCAGCAAAATCCCAGGAAAAATAAAAAAAAAAAAAAAGAAAAAAGAAAAATCTCTGGGTGGTGGTGCAAGCCTGGGGACAGCCTCTCCATCGCCACCACCACCAAAGCCACCACCCCAGGGTGCTGCCTGCCGTGGTGCTGCGCAGCCCCTGCGTGCCGGGGCTTCTCCCTGTGCTTTTCCTGTCTGGAATTAAACCCCGGAGCAACGTGCAGCCGGTGTCTGTTGGGATGAGCTGGGAAGGGGTTTGTTGCCCTGCTTTGGGAAGGGTGGTGGGCTGGGGGGGAGCCAGGCAGCCATGGGGCAGGGCTGGTTCTCCTGGGGCCTCCCCCATCCCCGTCTCTGTCCCCATCCCCATCTCCATCCCCATCCCTGTCTATCCCATCCCTGTCCCCAATCCCTGTCCCCATCCCCATCTCTGTCCCCATTCCTGCCCCCAATCCCTGTTCTCATCCCCATCTCCATCCCCATCCCTGTCTCTGCCCCATCCCTGTTTCCATCCCCATCCCCATTTCTGTTCCCATCCTTGTCCCCATCCCTGTCTCTGTCCCCACTCCTCTCCCCAATTCCCGTTCCCATCCCCATCCCCGTTCCCAACCCTGTCTCTGTCCCATCCTCGTTTCCATCCCTGTCCCCATCCCCATACCTGTTCCCATCCACGTCCCCATCCCCATCTGTCCCCATCCCTGTCCCCAATCCCTGTTCCCATCCTTGTCCCCATCCCTGTCCCCAATCCCTGTTCCCAACCCCATCCCTGTCCCCATCCCCATCCCCATCCCATCCCCGTCCCTCCCCCAGTCCCCAGCTGGCAGCCAGACATGGTGCAGTGGGGAGGGGGCCAGGGCCCCCCCTCCAGCAGCCCACCCCTCCGGGTCCTCCCTGGGGGGTCATTCAGGGAGGAGGGGGAGGCTGGGGTGGGGGGCCGGGTGCCCCGTGTGAGCGATAACTCCCCCTGCCCGGCACTGGGGCCAGCCCCACGGCTCCCTGTGCCACTGGGAGAGGGGGCTGAGTGGCAGTGGGGACAACTGGGGATCTCGTAGCCACCCGCAGCTGGGGGAAGGAGAGTCAGGGAGGAGATGGTTAGGGGGGAGGGTGGCAGCTGGGGGGGGTCCCCAGCCCAGGTTACAACCTGGGCTGGTGACGGGACTCGGGGTGCGATACCGCAGAGCTCGCCTGCACTGGGAGGTGCCCAAATCCCCACTGGGCAGCCAACCCCACCACCCCCCCGCCCCCCCTAGAGCCAAGCCTGCAGTGAGGGGCAACGCTGGGGGCGAGGGGGAGCAGGAATGGGGGGGCTCGTCGGACCCCAGACCGGGCAGGAGTGATGCCGGCAGAGCTGCTCCCACCCACAGCACTGGGATGGGAGGCTGAGGGACTGGTGCTGGCTGGGGACTGGGGGGGCTGGGGGGGGGGGATGTCGGGGGCCCAGGCAGTGACCAGGTCCCCTGGCCTTGGAGCTGCCATTTGGCTCTGTTCCTGGGAGCATCGGGCACGAGCTTTCCGAACGTGGCTCCCGCCAGCAGGAATCTGCTCCCCAGTTTACACCAGTCAGGGGCTCATGCAGCCGGTTCCTTGCGCTGGGAGATGGAGACACCAGTTTGGGGGGGGGACATCGGGATAGCCCCACAGAATGACCCCTGCGTTGAGTCCCCCGAGCACCCCGCAAGGCCCTGCGCTCTCCAGGCGTGGGGCTGGCTTCGCTCCAGTGGGACCAGCTTGTGCCCGTGTGCTCTGGGGACAGGAGTGGGGTGGGGTGGGGTGAAATGGGGTGGGATGGGGTGCAATGGGGTGGGGTGGGGTGAAATGGGGTGGGATGGGGTGCAATGGGGTGGGGTGGGATGGGGTGAAATGGGGTGGGATGGGGTGCAATGGGGTGGGGTGGGATGGGATGGAATGGGGTGCAATGGGGTGGGATGGGATGGGGTGGGGTGGGATGGGGTGAAATGGGGTGGGATGGGGTGCAATGAGGTGGGGTGGGATGGGATGGGGTGGGGTGGGATGGGGTGCAATGGGGTGGGGTGGGGTGGGGTGGGGTGGGATGGGATGGGATGGGATGGGGTGGGGTGGGATGGAATGGGATGGGATGGGGTGGGGTGGGGTGGAATGGGGTAGGATGGGATGGGATGGGGTGCAATGGGGTGGGATGGGGTGGGATGGGATGGGGTGGGGTGGGATGGGGTGAAATGGGGTGGGATGGGGTGCAATGAGGTGGGGTGGGATGGGATGGGGTGGGATGGGATGGGGTGCAATGGGGTGGGATGGGATGGGGTGCGGTGGGACAGGAGCAGCGCTGAGCCCACAGGTGACAGGCAGGGTGAGGGGCAGGGTGGGGGTCAGGGTGGGGGGGTCAGGCATCCCCCTCCCCAGCCCGTTGCAGCAGCTGCTGCCTCCTCGCTGGGATCCCCCCGAGCACCTGGCAGCGGCGAGGTTAAACCCCCCTCGTCTGCTGCACGGCCAGCCCAGACAGATGGGTTGGGATGGAGCTGGGGTGACCTGGGCAGGTCCATCCCTCTGGCTGGCAATCACCTTTACAAGGTACCTCTGTGGCAGAGCCCTCCAACCCCACCGCTGCCGAACCCGCCTCCTCCTCTTCCTCCTCCTCCTCCTCCTCTGCCACCTGCGCCCACGCTGCCCGCCGCCTCCCCACTGAGCCCCCGGGCTTCGTGAAGGGTCCCCGTGCGCATCTATTCCCTCCCTCCTGCATCTCCCCACCCTGAAGTTAATGAATTCTTGCCCAAAGCCCCCCCGGGTGGCCGGGCTGCTCCAGCTGGCCCCCCCTGCCCGGCCGTTTGTTGGGGGGGGGGCCAGGGCAGATGCTGCCGGCCGGTGCGCACACGCCGGGCCCCGTGAGCTGCCGTGCCAGATGCCCGCTCATCCCAGCAACGCAACTGGTCCGGGGGGGGGGGGGGCGTGGGGGGCACGGAGAAGGGGGCGCAGGGAAGGTCCCAGGTCCAGGACCTATATCCAACCCGGAGCGAGGGCAGCACGGAGACGGGCTGTGGGGCAGGATGGGGCAGGCGCCGAGGGATGGCTCCTGCGATGCTGAACCACCCACCCTGCCCCACACGAAGGGGCTCGGGGATGTGGGGAGCGGCAAGCGGCAGGGCTTGGGGGGAGGGACGGGACCGGTGTGTGTGCCTGCCTTAATCCAGCCCCACGGCTGCAGGAATGCCCCTGGGCCACGGGCACGGAGCCAGCGATTACCCCCGGGCCCTCTGAGCTCCTTCTCCTCCTTCCCTTCTGGAGCGACACCCGTTAAGCCAAATCCTCCCGTCACATGGTTTAAAGGCAGAGCAAGGGAATAAGGGCAGGTCAGGAGGTGAACCGGAGGCCACGGATTTGCCGTCGGGCAGAGGACCTTGCAGCAATGTGCTAGGCATTTCTCCTCGGATAAATTAGTGCATGCTTTGATTTGCTGTTCGCGGTAATCCCGGCGACGGCTGAAACGCGCCCGGCGCTGGCGGCGAGGGGGGGGGTCTCGGGGGCACGCGGGGCGCTGGGCTCGCTGCCCTCGCCCCGTGCTGCCAGGGCGGCCGCGATGCCGGGGGCTTCTGGCGATGCTGGGCCGCTGGCCCACCGAGCTCGGAGGCCCCGTTTGGTCGGGAAACGAGCCCAAGCAGCGGCGCGGTGGCCCTCACCGTGGTCCCAGGCCCCGGCCCCCACCGGCTCTGCGGTGGGACGGGCTCTGGACGGTGCCAGCCCCGGGGGCAGAGGGGGGGGGTGCCGGGGGTGCCACCAAGGTGAGAGACGTGGGGCAACACCGCTCTGCCCAGCATGTGCCTCCGCTCTTCCCAGGGCTCAGCCCAAACCTTTGGCGGCCAAACCCCCCGGCTCTGAGTGGGGACCCTCCCCAGCCCACCCCGAGGGTGTCCCCACCCAGGGCCCCCTCTCCTCCACCCCACTGCTGGTGCTCCTCACGTTGTGTGTGTGTGTGTGTGTCCCTGCCCCGCACCCTGAGGTTTAGTGCTCTCCGTAACATCTAAGCCCATCCCGCTTCTTCCTCGCCATCATCATCAATTATCTGGAGGTCACGGCTAGCTGCGCGTGGCAAGGCTTGGTGACGGTGGTGGGACGTCGCGTGGGGCTCCCCCCCCCCCCCCCCAAGCCTCTGCCGTCCCCACAGCCCACGCCAAACACCCACGTGCCGTGGAAAGCAGGAGGCAAAGGGCTGGTCTCTGCCCTCCCGCAGCTGCGAGGGGCAGCCGGGTCCTGCCCAGCCCCCCCCGGAACCCCCTCCCTGCTTCTCTGAGCGGGGTCTCATCACCCCCAAAACCCCCGGGAGTCTGGGAGTCCGTCTGTCCTGCGGAGGGTGCCGGAGCAGCCCCAGCGCCGAGCCCCAGCGCCGTCAGGGCCCCACCGCTCCTCCCGACAGCAGACGAGGTTTATCGGGGTCCCTTGGGGCCCCCCCCTTGTCTGTTGGGATCCTCAGCTCAGCTGGAGGCCACTGGGGGAACCCCCACCCCCAGGAGCACCCCGGGGCTCCCCAGGCCCCCAACTACATTAATTTGATGCTCATTAACTGGAATCGCCTGGGGGGGGGGATGGGGGGTGCCTGGGGGTGAAGCGTGGTTTGGAGCCAGCTCCCCCATCCCGGGAAGCAGCCGGCTCGGGGAGGGTGGGGGGGGGGGGACACACAGTGGCTGTGGGGTCCCCGGCGAGTGCCCAGAGGGACCCACAGTGAGTGTCCAGGGGGACCCTGGCGGGGAGGGAGGTTTCCAGCAGAGCGGGAGCCGGGGAACCTGGGAAGGTCAAGGTTATCAGACCACAGCAGCAGGTCCCCGGGGTGCGCTCGCACCCTCCTCCGCCCACCCCGTGGCACGTGGCGAGCCGGCAGCACCGACACCTTGTCACCCGCGTGTCCCCGCAGCCCCACTCGCCCTCGCTGCGGGTGGGGGGGGGGGGCAAGACCCTGGGGCTAGGGGCCGCCGGCGGGCAGGGGGTGACCCCAGAAACTACGGCGAAACGCTGAGACGCATCTTCCAGCGCAGAATGACCCACGACGGCACGCGGGGGAAGCCCCCGGGTCTGTTCACCCTCCTCCTCCTCCTCACCCCCCCCCCCCCCCCCACCTTCGGGTGCCATCCCACGGCTTGTGGCTCTTTGTCCCTTTGGCGGTGGGGACGTTTCCAGTGAAGACACTGGTGTGTGGACACCCGTGTGCCTCCAGCCTTCACGGTGGGGATGGGACCAGCTGGGCCACGGTCCTCAGCGGTGGGACGCAGGCGGAGTTGGGGGGGGGGGCGGGGGGGGGGGGGTGTGGTTCTGCAGTCACCCCACTTTCCCCACGGGTCCTGTGCACACTTGCAGAGGGTAAACTGAGGCACTGACAACACAGCCTCTGCGTGTTCTGGAGTTGGGGGGTTCTGGGGGGACACAATCAAGGCGTCATTCCCCTCTCCCCCAAGGTCTGGGGGTCCACCCTGCCCCGTGGGGGCCTGGGGACCGTGGGGACCTGGGAGGGGGTGTGGGTGCAGGGGGATGCCAGCACTAATTCTTTCAGCTCCCCCCTCTGCCCCGCATCCCTCCGATCTCTTCACTTCCCCCCCAAACCCCAAATTATTATTATTTTTTTTTAATTTATCCAGAGCGGGAGCTGGCAGGATGCTTGAGGCCAGGGCTGGGTTGTGGGGGTCTCTGGAGCTCGGCCTCTGCCGGGACCACCGCGCCGGCGTGCCAGGACGAGGGGAGAGGGGCTGCCCGGCGTGGGGAGGGCAGAGATCCCAGGAGCAGGATCCCTGGAGCCGGGAGCCCTGAAATGGGCACCCCAGGGGCTCGTAGGGAGAGGGGAGCCCCGAAATCAGGGTGCTGTGGGGGAGAAGGGTGCCAGGAGTGGGGTCCCAGGAGTGGGGGTGCTAAGGGAGGAGGTCCCAGGAGTGGGGAAGGATCTGGGGTTCCCAGCCCCCGCCGCTCCCCGTGTCGGGGTGGCCCCGCCGCCGCGAACTCGTTTGGGGTGGGGAGCCCCGGGGGAGGAGGGGCGCTGGGCGGGGACCCCCCGATCCCGCCAGGCTCGGGCACCGCTGGGCTGACGGACCAACCGTGTCCGGGGGGGTTGCGGTACCGGCCCGCCCAGTTTTCGTTGGATTTCTTTGGATTTCGTTTGATTTTGTTTTATCCGAGTGGGAGCGGTGGGGCCGGGTCGGGTCGCGTTGGGGGGGAAGCGCACTCACCCGCGGGCGATCCCGGTGGGGCGGGGGCGGGGGGTCCAGGGAGGGGTGTCCCCAGCCGGGGAGGGGTGTCCCCCACCCAGGGAAGGGTGTGTCCCCCCCCGCCCGCTTCCGGGGCCACCCTGGGCTCCCCGGGACAACCGGCTCCGCTTAACGAAATCAGCGCTGCCGGGGGGGCGGGGAGGGCCGCGTGGGGGCTGAGCCCCCCCGGGAGCATCCTGGGACACGGGAGGGCCCCCAGGACCCCCAGCGCTTCCCCCAAATCCTCTCCCCTCGGCGGGATCCCCGGAGCAGCCGCCGGAGCCCGGGGCGGGTGAAGCCGCCGAGGCTGCCCGGTCCCCGCTCGTCCCGGCGAGCAGCCCCGAGTGGGCGGGGGGTGTCCCCGTGGGTGTCCCCGGAGCAGGCACCCACGCCCGGACGTGGCAAAACGCACCTCAGCGCTGCAGAGGGGTGCACCCTCACCCCGCAGCCGGCTGACAGGGCACCCTGCGCACTCGCGCCGTTGCCTGCTGGCGGTTACAGCGTGGCCGTGCACACCCACCCGTGTCCGTGCACCGTTACGGTGTGTCCACGCGCACCCACCCGTGTCCGTGCACGGTTACACTGCGTCCATGAACTCCCACCCGTGTCCGTGCACGGTCTCACTGAGCCCGTGCACACTCACTCACCCGTGTCTGTACACCGTCACGGTGTGTCCACGCACATCCCCCCGTGGCAGGGCGTGGCTAGATCGGATAATTGGATGCGCTGTGTCGGCTCCGGCCGCCCTGATTGATCTAAAAACAAACAAACCAACCCCAAAACCCAACCCCAAACCCGTCCCCCGCCACGAGAAGGGAGCGGTGCACGGTTACACCCTGCCCACGCGCGGCTGCCCCGTGTCCGTGTGTCCGTGCACAGCCACACCGTGCGCCTGCAGCTCCCCGAGCCCCTGTAAAGCCGTGCACCGTGCCCGTGGGCGCTCACACCGTGTCCGTGGACATTCACACTGTGTCCGTGCACACCGACGCTGTGTCCACGCACATTTACAGTGTCACAGCGTACCCGTGCACATTTCTCCCGTGTCCGTACACAGCCCCCCCGTGTTTCTGCACGGCTTCCCCGTGTCCCCGCACAGTGCCCCCGTGTCCCGTACACGTTTACCCCGTGTCCGTGGACATTACCCCTGTCTTTTCCCTCACGGCGGAAGTCCCCCCCCCTACACAGCCCGGGCCCGCAGGCCACCGGCGTGGGCTGTGGGCCCGGGGAAACGCGGCCGAGCCCAGCTGATCCGAGCCGAGCCGAGTCTAGCTGAGCCGAGCCGAGCTCAGCTGAGCTGAGCCGAGCTGTGCTGAGCCGAGCCGAGCTGTGCTGAGCCGAGCCGAGCTCAGCTGAGCCGAGCCGAGCCGAGCCGAGCCCAGCCCAGCCCAGCCGAGCCCAGTCGAACGGAGTCGAGCCCAGCCCAGCCGAGCCGAGCCGAGCCCAGCTGATCCGAGCCGAGCCCAGCCCAGCCCAGCCCAGCTGATCCGAGCCGAGCCGAGCCGAGCCGAGCCCAGCCCAGCCGATCCGAGCCGAGCCCAGCCCAGCCCAGCCCAGCCCAGCCCAGCCCAGCCGATCCGAGCCGAGCCCAGCTGAGCCGAGCCGGCCCTGCCTTACCTCCACTTCCAGCGAGCCCGAGCAGCTCTGGGCGGCAGGTCGGGCCCCTTCGCCGGGGCATAAACCGGGGAAATGCACCAATATTGGGGTTTTGGGGGCCCTTGCCCGGCCCCGGAGCGGGGTGGGGCGGCTCGGGGGGGCCCCGGGGCTCGGCGGGGATGGCAGCGGGCGAGGGGCCGCTCGAACGGGGCTGCTGCGGGCGAGCGCGGCCCCCCCGGGCCCGGCTTCCCTGGGCTGGGCTCTGCTCTGCACGGCCCACGCGAGAGAGGAGAGAGAGTAGGAGGAGGAGGAGGGATAATAACAACAATAATAATAATTAAAAAATAGAAATAAAATATTACAACAACGGCAATAACAACGCTAGAACAAAATCAGCAATAATAATATCATAATAGTAAACAGTATAATTTTTTTAAAGTATCATTATTACTATTATTATTTATTAGGGTAAGGTAGGTCAGGCAGAGGCTGCCGTGGCTCCGCTCCACCCTGCACAGCCCGCGGAGGAGCGCGGATCTCCTCGCCTCTGCTCCCCCGGCATTTCCCTTCCTCTGCTCCCCCGCAAGCCCAGCCCCATCCGCAGCAAAATCTCTTATCGTCGTTATTAATGATAACCATAGCGATAACGAGAAAAACAGCAGGACCCGGGGTTGGGGAGCGGCGGGTTCTGGGGCTCCCGGCCTTGTCGCGGCTCGGGCAACCGGGAGCGGGCAACCGGTTGCCGCCGCCAGCCCCTACCCCGAGCCGGGGCTCCATCCGCCCGGCCCGGGCCCCCGGCCCTCCGCGTCCCGGCTTCCCGCTTCCCCCTGCTCAGCCTTTTTCGTTTGCTTTTTTTCCCCTTTCTTTCTTTCTTGTCTTTTTTTTTTTTTTTTAATTTTATTTTATTTATTCTGTTTATCATTTAAAAAAAAATATTTTGAATTTTTCTTTTATTTTTTCCTTTTGTTTTGTTGTTCCTTTTATTTTTTCATTTTATTTTTTCCTTTTGTTTTATTTTTTCCCTTTATTTTTTTCCCTTTCATTCTACTCTTCCCGTTTATTTTATTTTTTTTTCCTTTTATCTTTTTTTTCCCTTTTATTTTATTTTTCCCCCCAATCTCTTTTTATCCGCTCTGCGCTGTTTCGGCTATTTCAGGGACGGCCACAGCCTGCCTCACACACGGACACACAGGGCCCACCCCAGCCCAAAGGCAAATTTGGAGGCCTTGAACTTTTCGTCCCCGAGGCTGGGCGGCTCCTGGCTCGGCCGAGCTCTCCCTCCGGGGAACCGGAGCGTTCCGAGACCCCTCCGGGACGCCCCAGCTCCGGCCGAGCCCGCCGCAGCCCCGGGCAGCATCGGTCTCGGGTGGGTCTCGGGGGGTTCGGGGCCCCCCGGCGTGTCCTTCGCCAGGTCCCGGTCGCTGGGGATTGAGCTCTCGGGGATGTTGGGCTCTCGGCAATTGGATTAACAGCTAATTTATTTATTTTTAATCCACCGTCATTACAACCGCTTCGATTTGAGGGGATACAAGGCGAGGCGAAGAGGGGTGCCGCCCCCCCCCCGGCCCCCCTCGAGGTGAAGCATCGCCGCCGCCGCTTTTCCGCTGGGTTTTGCCCCGTTGCAGAGAGCGGCGGGACGGAGCCCCGGGGGGCTGGGGGGGAGCTGCCCGGGACCCCCGGCCTGGGACGTCGCCCAAGGAGCCGCTCGCCTCGGTGCCGGTGCCGGTCTGGGGGGGCCGCAGCTGCCGGGAGCGGCTGTACCGGAGCGGGGGGCAGCGTGTGTGTTTTCGGGGTTCCCCCGCTGCCCGATCCCGTGGCGGGGGCGCTGGGGTAACTCCGGTAGCAGCGGGGACCCTCGGACTACCGGGCAGCGGGGGGCAACGTGGGGAAAAGGAGGGGGGAGCCCCCCCCGGCTGGCCCCGAGGGGTGCGGGCAGCCCCGGGGAGGGGAGGGCGGGCAGAGCCGGGCCGGGTTATTTCTTTATTTGCTTCTATCTCGGTTAGCGCTTCTCTGCGCAGACGGGGGTCGCCCCCGAGAAGAGGGGACCCCCCCCCCCCCCCCGCCGCGGGAGAAGGAGCCGGAGCCACCGCCCCCGGCCCTGCCCGTACTCCCGGGGCCGGGCAGCGACCGCCGAGGGGGTCTTTTGTTTACCCATCGGTATCACGGAACCGGGAGAGCAGGAAATTGCGTCTGTGCCGGGCCGTTAATTTAAAATCGCTCCTTTTCCCCCACCCTCCACCCCCCCGAACCGCTCCCCGCCGCGGCGGGGGCTGCGCAGAGGCGCGGGGTGGGGGCCGGAGCAATAAGGACCCCGGCTTCTACCTCCGCAGCTCCCTCCCTTCGGCCCCCCCTTCCCCTCCGCCCCCCTAAAATTACCACATACCCCCCCCGCCCCCAGTATTGATTTCCCCGCACGCGAATCCCAGCGCAGCGCGGCGAGACCGGGCACCGGCGGCTCCTCCCCACCGGCACCGGCACCGGGACCGGTTCCCCATGGAAGGGCAGCGGCTGCGGCCGGAGCACCTCAAGTTTTCCCGGAGCGAGGTTCGGCGGGAGGTGGAGCTGGGGAGGGTTTGAGAGGGGGGGTGTGTGTGTGGGGGGGTGGGATGCGGTTCAGCCGCCTGTCAAAGTTTTTAACTCCTTTTTACCCCCCCTCGCACCCTCTCGGGACGCCCCGACGGGTCCCGCCACCACCCTGTCCTCGTCCCCACCCCTGGCCGGTGGAGCGGGGGGGGGGGGGAGGAGGAGGAGGAGGAGGAAGAGGAGGGGGGGGGGTGCTTTAAATGCCAGCCCCCCCCCCCCCCCGGGTGGGAGAGGGCCGGCTCCGTCGCGGAGAGGCGGGAGAGCGACGGCCCCCGGCGGTCTCCGGCCATGGGGGTGAGCTGGGGCGCGGTGCCCCCGGCTCTGCCAGGGCGCTGAGCCCCAAGGGGGGATCGGGGGGGGGCCGGGGAGGGGCGGGGGTCTGGGGAGGGTGGGGGGGGGGGGGCTCTCCTCCCCCCCCCCCCCCCCCCCCCCCCCTTCGCCTAGTCTTGCCTCCTCTCTCTGTCTCTCTGTCTGTCTCCCTCCTGATGTTTGATCCCGCCGCGGCGCCCGCAGGGATGAGCGATGGAGGGGCCGAGCCTGGCAGGAGCCCGGTGCTGCCGGCCGAGCCCACCGCCACCGGGAGGGCCCGGGAGAAGCCGCCGACCCGGGCGGAGCTGGAGAGCGCTCTGCGCGGCGGCGGAGGAGGAGGAGGAGGAGGAGGAAGAGGAGGCGGCGGCGGCCGCGGCGGCTTCAAGGACATCCCGGGAACGTCGGCGGTCAGCCCCGGCTCCTCCAAGGAGTGCGCCCCGGATAGCGAGAGCCCGTCGGGAACCGGCGAGGCGGACTATTGCCGCCGCATCCTGGTGCGAGGTACGGGCAGGGGCGCCGGGGCCCGCTTCCCCCCCCCCCCCCCCCACCGGGGCACTTCCCGCCTGCGCCGACCGGGTCCCCGCTGCTCGCCCCGGTGGCCCCGGGATGGGGCAGGCTCACACCCACCCCTCGGCTCCCCCGGCCCCGCTTTCAGCGCATCCCCGGCCGCTCTCGGGCTCCGGCCGGCTGCTCGCCCCGGCCTCTCGGCCCCGCCGCGGCTTCCCCCGGCTCCGCTCGGTGCGGCGGGGACCGGGCCCGTTCCCCCAGCCCGCTCCCGCCGTGCGGTTCCCGGGAACGGGGCCGGGCTCGCCGTTCAGCCGAGGGACCGGGCTCGGGGAGCAGCCGCGGGGGCACGGATCCCCCACGGGCTGGCTGAGCCCCGCCGGGGAGGGGGGGGGGGACGCGCAGGCAGTGGGAGAGGGGTGAAAGCATCAGTTTTGCTTTTAAAGCGTTGTCGCAGGAGAAAAGCGTCATGCAGCGGCGGCGAGTTAGGGGCTCGCGCGCTCTCTCTCTATATATATATTTTTATTTTTTTTTTTAAACCTCTTTAAAATGTCACTCGCTCGCCCGGGGATGGGGGGACGCGGCGGGCTCGGCCGGACCCGGAGCCGGTGCATCCCGCCGCCCCGGGGCTGGCTGGGACCAACCTGGGTTGTGGCGAACCCCCAAAGTTTGGGGAACCCCGGCGGGGATGCGGCAGGCGGGCAGTGCCGGGCGCTCCCCGGCTGCGGGGGCAGCAGCGCGGCTCCAGCCCGGGGCCGGGGGCGGGGGGGGATGCTCAGCGTCGTATGTCCGACCGCCCCCCCGCCTCCGCCGCCCTCCAAGCCGGAGCCAGGAGAAGCTCCGCGGCCGCTCGGGCTCCCCCGGGGGCGGCGGGGCCTGAGCCGTGTTTCCGCTCGTTCGCCATAAGCGGGGCCTGGCACGGCACGGGTCGGCTCGGCTCGGGCATCCCGCCCGCCACCGGGTCGCACGGAGCCCCGCCGCCCAGCCGAGCATCTTTCCCCGCTGTCGCGATAGGCGCCTGGCGCCGACAACCCGGCTGTCGCGGTCTAAACGCTCTCCGGGCACCTCGGCGGCGGGGGGGGGGGGGGGGAGCGGGCAGCGAGCCCCGGGGTCCCGCCGCGGGGTGGCCCCGGCTCCTCGGTGGTCGCCGAACGGGGCCACCGCAGCTCCCGCCGGGGTCAGGCCGGGGTCGGGCCTTTCCTCCGCCCGGTCTCGGTCCTACCGGGGCCGCCCCGACGGGCCCGGGGCCGCGAGCGTGCCGGGGGGGCGGTGCCCACCCCCGGGGCAGGGTCCCCGCTTCTCCCGGCCCCGGGGACCCCCCCCCGCCCCCGGGAGCGGCCGGTCTCACCATCTTGCTGCAGCCGCCACGGCGCGGACAAAATGGTGGCGGGGAGAAAAGCCGCAAATAAACGGGAACGGAGCCGAAATAATGCGGGGGGGGGGCGTGGGGGGGGGGACACTCGGGCTGCGGGGCCACGGGGTCCCCCGGCTCCCCGTCCTGCCCCGGCCGGGGGCCCGCTCCCGGGGAAGGGGTCGGTGCCAAGCCCCGGCCGGTGCCGGGGAAGCGCCTCTAGGCTGATTTTTCTGCGAGGTGGGATTTAAAAAAAAAAAAAAAAAAAAAAAAAAAGATTTCTTTTTAAAATATATTTTTAAATATTTTCAATTTTCCCCCAAGTTCGGGGGACCGCTCTCCCCCACCTCGCTGCCTGCCCCGGGGGAAGGGGCCGCATCTCCCTCCCCGCCTTCCCCTCGCTGCCCCAGGGGCTACCGCCGGTCCCCGCTGCTCGCCCGCGGTGGCTTTGGCGGGGACGGGGCTCTCGGGGGGAAGCGGCGGGATCCTCCGTGCCCGGCCGGTCGCTCTCCCGGGGGCTCGGCCGGGCTCCGTCCGCTCACCGGTACATCTGGGTACCGGGGACCGGCCGTGCGGGACGGAGCCTCCAGCCGCCGCGACTGGGCCACTTTGCCCGCGGAAGGGTGGCCCTGACCGCCCGGCCATCCCCGTCTCGTCGGGGCGGCGGGGCTGGAGGGCGCTGCCGGGTGCGGGCACGGTTGGGGGGTGCAGACCAGCAGCCGGTCGGTCCTTAGCGGGGATTAACGGGATAAGGACTCGCTGGAGGAGCCAGGCCGGTGGCGCTGGAAGGGGAAGGGAGCAGATATCAGGGTGCTCACCTCCCGGGGGCTGCCCCAGCACTGTGCCCCGGGGGGATGTGGGGAGCTCTGGGGGGGGGACTGCGGTGCTGTTTGGGGTGCGCTGAGAAGGGCTGCGGGCTCCTGTGCCTCCCCAGAGTGTGTCACCATGGCCACGCTACCCCCCCCCCCCCCCCCCCCGGCATGGAGAGGGGTGAGTGTGCACCCCAGAAACGTCCCGGTGGCCGTGTCGGTGTAGAAACCCCCATAGACACGGGTGTGCGTGGGGTGTCCCTGGGTGTGTGGGGGCATCTGTGTGTGCCTGGTTCTGTGGTTCGGTGTGCAGGATGCGTCCCTCCCAGCCTGCCATGCTGCGCTGCAGCGCGGGCGGGCTGAAAAACCTCTTGTTACCAGCTTGGGGGGGTCGGTACCCCAAAGCTGCTGCCTACTAGCCTTCCCTCCTGCTCCCCGGCCGTGTCTGCCCGTCCTGCCTTGTTGTATTTAGCTGCTAAAGCAGAGGAGGGCTTGATCCCCCTTGGTACCAGATCTCTTTTGGGGGGTTTCAGCCCCAGACCTTCTCCTGGATGTGTTGCCATCAGGTGTAGCCTGGTCCCCAAAATGTCACCACGGCCCCGCTGCCGAGGGCTGCTGGCAAACCCCACAGGACTTGGTGGGTGTTGGGGGTCCCGAGATCTAGCGGCTGCTGGGGGGGAAGGCTCTCAGAAAGGGGTGTTTCTCAGACAGGATGGTGTTGTGCCCTTCCTGGCACGGAGGGATGGCTGTGGAACCCCCCTGCATTCTGCATGGATGGGCTGCGGGGAACGTGCAGTGGGGCTGTGGCGAGGGGTTTTGCCTCTCCCTTGCTGAGCTGGCACCGCGGGCTGTGCCCCCTTCCCTCTGGGGCTGTGCCCCCTTCCCTCTGGGGCTGTGCCCCCTTCCCTCTGGGGCTGTGCCCCCTTCCCTCTGGGGCTGTGCCCCATTCCCTCTGGGGCTGTGCCCCATTCCCTCTGGGGCTGTGCCCCCTTCCCTCTGGGGCTGTGCCCCCTTCCCTCTGGGGCTGTGCCCAGCCTGCTCCCCCCCCAGCTGCCGGGGGAAAATAACAATAAATAATACCCGTAATAACGCCGGCAGCGCCGGCCGGGGTGGCGAGGGTGGAGGGGCAGCTTCTCGCAGCTGCGGCTGGCAAGCGGGAGCGGCTGTTAGCCACTCCTCGCTGGCAGCCCCGGCTGTTGTTGTGTCGGGGAAGCGCGGCGCGGCCACGGGCGTGCGGACGTGGTCCGGGCAGCATCCCTGCCAACGCTCTTCCTCTCCTCGCAAAATGGTTCCCAGCCTGGCGTCCCGATCCTGCCAGAGATCCCTCCCGTCCACCTCCGACCCCTTTCCTTTCCAACAGCCCCGTGCCCACCTGTGGGGTTTGGGGGTGCGGGGTCTCTGCCAGACCCTCTCCCGCCCCGTTCCCCCCCCCGAGCCCCGCTGCAGGGCCGTGCTCCAGCCAGGCTGGCGCTTGCCACGCACCAAAACGTAGCGGTGGGGAACCAGCTGGGGGTTGGGATCCCTCTCCCAAGTCTGTGCTTGCTCCACGCCAGCTCCATCACCCCTTCTCAGGCCATTCCTCACTATTTTTTCCCCATCCTGCCCCAGCAATTTTATAATCCTTTCACGCCTGAGTCGGGCAAAAAGAGAGAAAATGACTTACCTCCAGCCGGGGCTGCTGGGGACCTCGGGTCTCTCCGGCACGGAGCCAGCCAGGGCTGAAAGCAGGGCCTGGAGTCGTGGCTGCTGGCCCAGCGTGGCTTTTGTGGCTGGTTTTTAACGTGCAGGAAAGCCCCCGGGCAGAACCGGGGAGCTCCGCAGCCAGAGCTCACCCAAACCGGGCTCTGCACCGCTGTTGCTGGTGCTTAAGGAAAGCCGGGCGCACGGGTCGAGGGGCGCGATGGGTTTGGGGTCTGGCAGGAGCCCGGCGGGCGATTTCCAAAGCTCGTTTTTAAAACCTGGTGCCGCACGTGGCACACGGAGCCCGTCGGGGCACATCGCAGCCCACGGAGCTGGGACAGGCTTCCTGGCATCGCGGGGCTCCCTGGATTTTTCCTGGGAGAGCTCGTCCTCTGCCAGCGGAACATGAAGCCGCGGCATCCCGCGGCGCGGAAGGGGCTAACGTGGGAGCTAAACCCTCCGGCGTTTGCTTCCCCGCGACAGGCCCGGCCTCGTGAAATCCGCTGCTGTGAGCGGCTCGGGGCGTGCGGCGCTTCTAAAACTTGTCCTTTATTAGAGAACTGCCCCAGAGTAGGAGCTGCTGCTTTTCAGGAAAATATTCCTCCAGCGAGAATAAGTTTGGAAAGAAGGGAATTGTAAGAGAGATAAAAATTTTCCAGTATTCCCAAGGAAGAACACAGATAAAAAATAAAATACATTTTTAGTTAAAAAAAAAAAAAAATCTTTAATTTGAGCTGTTTTTAGGTATAGAACTGTTTTCTGCTTCTGGCTTTCAGAAACTATTATTTCTGTGATTAAACGCTCTGTTTTCCTTAGAGACTTTATGGTTTCTGTTTATCTCTTAAAAAAAAAAAAAAAAATATTCAGCAAGACTTGTTACCATTCCCTGGAGGTTTATAAACTTGCAGCATTTGGGGCCGGAGGGAACAACCAACTTACGGGCTGTCGCCCCTTCTAGCCACAGCTTGGGGGGATTTTCCCAGTTGCTCCTGCAGCGAGCCCCTCACTCGGGCACCAGCCCTGGTGGTGCAGCCGGTGTTGAATTCAGATTTTCCTTCACCAGTAACCGGCCTTTTGGACTAGTTACACCCAGTCCCTTTTCTCCATAGCCCAGCTTTTAAAAATTATTTTTATTTTTACTTTTATTTTTATTTTTATTTCTATTTTTTTCTCTTTCCTGGAGACTTTTTCCTGACGGCCCTTCTCCCCGCTTCCCTCCCAGATGCCAAGGGGACGATCCGGGAGATCGTGCTGCCCAAGGGCCTGGACCTGGACCGGCCCAAGCGGACGCGGACATCCTTCACAGCGGAGCAGCTCTACCGCCTGGAGCTGGAGTTCCAGCGCTGCCAGTACGTGGTGGGCAGGGAGAGGACGGAGCTAGCGCGGCAGCTCAACCTCTCCGAGACCCAGGTGAGGGTCGTGGCGGCTCCTCCGGGCCGGGGGCACAGCCCCGTGGCCACCCGCAGCTCTCCGGGGCTACCAGCATTGGCGGGAGGGGGGGGGGGACGGGGGACAAGGGCAGGCAGAGAGGGCAGAAAGTGGGGCTGGGGGCGGGTGGGAGGTGTTTTTTTGGGGTGGGGGGGTGGGCTCGGTGCTGGCTGGTGTTTTGGTGAGGAGCCGGGGCTGAGCGCGGCCGGGAGCGTGGCGTGGCGCTGCGGGCAGTGGTTTTTGTCTCCACCCTTTTCTCGTGAATTTTGGGGGTTGGGAGCGGGGGGGGGGGGGGGGGGGGGGGGGGCAGCCCTGAGTGGGGTCTGCAGGGGATAGCCCCCCCCCCCCCCCGCCCGCCTCTCCAGTTTCCCCGGGAGGCTCCGGCAAAGCGGGGGAGGGAAAAAAGAGCGGGAGGGCGTCAGCGGGGAGCCGAGCCCCTTCTGGCAGCACCCACAGCCCCGGGTGGGCGAGCGGGGCCGGGCGGCAGCGTGGGTGCTGGCGGGATCGGGCGTTTGGCCGTGGACGAGCTGGATGGATCCCGCACCCCCCCACGCTCCCCAGCCCCCCGTGGCTCCGCTCTCCCGCTCCCAACGGGGTGGGGACGCTGCTGGGGATGGTCCCTGCGGATCGGGGGATCCCCCCCCCCCAACACACCCCCCGGAGCTGCGGCGTGGTCCGGGTATCTCCCCTCCATCCTCGCCGTCCCCCCCTCCCGCCATGCCCGGCCCTGCGAGGAGCTTTGCCGGTGAAGGGGGGGGGGCGGGGGGGAGATTTTCCCGTTTTTCTTCCACCGAGGTGGGAGAGGTGGCGGGTGGCTGGGAAGTTGGTGTTGCCGTCTGCTAAGCCAGAAAATGCATCCGCTGGGGTTGCGATGGTTTCAGCTTGAAAATTTATACAGAAATAGTAGCAGTAATAATAATAATAATAATAATAATAATAATAATAATAATAATAATAATAATAATGCAATTAGTGAAGATGGCCGTGCAAAACAGCACAGCTGGGACCTACAGAAAAACCCCGACAGCCCAGTCTGCCCCTTCTCTGCCCGGTAAAGGGCATGTTTGGAGACGGCTACATGGTTTCAGATAAGAAATAATTTCAATTTTTTCCAAACTTCTTGTGAAGGAAACCTCTCCCGGCTCTCAGCAGCCAGGCCCCCACCACGTGCCGAGGGGGGGGGTTGATTTTGGGGAGACCCTGTTGCTCCGTGGTGCTTGGGCGCTCGCTGTGCGGTCCTGCGAGGGGGAGCAGAACCTTGACGCGTAAAAAATAGTTGCTTTTGGTTCTTTTGGTGGCAGAGCAGCGTTTGGTTTTTGTGTTTTTTTTTGTTTGTTTGGTTTGTTTGTTTTTTGTTTTTTTTTTTTTTTTTCTTGGTAAGGAGCAGGTTTCTGTCTGTGGGACCCGTGCAAGGAGGTGCTGGTGTGCGGCTGTTAGGAGCAAAGCACCCCAGTGAGCTGGGTGCTGCACTGAGGTCCCTCTTCCCAGGGTCCCAGCCGAAATCCCAGTCCCCGTCTCACCTCCACGGACCTGGGAGGGACACGGGTGGGCTCGGCCGTGCCGTGCCGGGGGAAGAGCTTGCGGGGCACCGGCTGTGCCGAGCGGGGGGCCGGCTGCCGCAGCCCCGGGCCGGGAGGGTGCAGCCTCTCCGGAGGGACCAGTGTCCGCTGATGTACTGCCTGCTCGGCGTCTCATTGCTGCCTTCATCACTCAGTGAGAAAATTCACACCCTGTAGGCCACGGCTGTCTCTCCTCCTCTTCTCTTCTCCCTCCCGCATCCTCTTTTCCCCATCTTTCTCCTTCATCTCTGTCTTTTTGAATCCCTTTCTGTGCTTTTCACAGCATTTCCTTCCCTGCAGCAAATTCCCAGTTGTACCTTCCCGGCTGCCCCGCTGCCCCCCGTCCCTCCCCAGCCACCGCCGTGCCCGGGGGTGGCAGTGCCAGGCTCGCTGCCCGGCTTCCTCCTCTCCTTACCGGGCTGCAGATTCCCTTGGGTGGTGGTTTCAGGCTCTCTGCACACTCAGGCATCCCCTGCCACCCCGGTCCCTCGCCGTTCACAGCTGGGAGGTTTCCTCGGTCGTTGCAAGAGCTGGGCGGCCCCAGGGTTTTACTAGACCCCTGAGGTCTGGAGGGTGTTGCACGGCTCTGTGCAGCGTGCTGCTCCGCTCTGGATGTGGCCCGGAGACGGGGGACTCCCCGCCAGCCACTCCTGTCCCACCAGGCTCCTCTGTGTCCGTCCGCTCAGACAGGGACAAACACAACATTTGCAACAATTTTGGGTACTTTGGGGGATTTTTCCTCCCGGCGTTAACCAGGAGCAGCTCCCAGGATTTAGGGGAGTTCACGGTGTCGTTGCTTCGTCTAATGTTTCGGCGGTGGATTCCCAACCAGTAGCATCTTGTGGCTCTCTTTGGGTTCATATTTGCGTTGTGCGGGTTGGTTGGGACGGCAGGACGGATCCTTTCCATCCCTCCCTTGGATTAGGTCTCGATTTCAAGACTAGGAAGCTCCCCCTGCCAGACTTTGCTCTCTGCCGGGACCCCTGGACGTGATGGGAGCCCACCACGGGAGGGGAGAGCAAAGCGGGGGGCACGGAAGAAGGGGCTGCTGAAGAGGGGTTTTTTGTGCTTGCGAATGTTCAGGGTGGGAAGAATGATTCATCTCCGCTCCCCTGCGAGAAGAGAGTGGTGTAAACAGCGTGATCAGATAGGAAGAGACACGATGTCATCGCAGCTGGAGAGCTGCAACCAAGCGTCCCCATAAGTGGGTCCGCTGATCAGGCTGCGCCCCTGAGAAATCCTGCTGGAGAAAAAAAAAAAAAAAAAAAAAAAAAAAAAATCCCACCTCTTCTAGGCTCTTATTTTACTTTCCTGGCATCTGATCCTGAGTTTCGGCAGTCTTAGAAGCAGGAGGCTATCGCAGCCCCTGGCAGGGAAGCCAGAACAGCCCCCCACTTGGGGAATAGGGATCTTCTTGCTTTCTTGTCTCTGGCCCCTGCCCCTGGGAAGGGGGGGGCTCACCCAGGCTAAGGCAGGGAGAAGCAGCCGTGCGGGGGGGCTGCTCGGAGCTGTGGTGGCAGAAGCCGGTGGGCTTCCACCTGCCCCCCCGAGCCTGGGGAGTTGGCCTGGTCCCCCTGGGAGCCACGTACCTGCTCTGCCTCGCCGGGAGCTGCTCAGGCTCCAGCCCTGTGCCACTTGTGCTTTTGTTTTTCCTCATTAATCCACGGACGTGGTTAGCATGAAATGACTTTAATTAGCCAGTAGAATATTTTCATTAACTTGTCGAGCGGCGGCGTGGGGACGCGGATGGGCTGGCTGCTTCGTCCCAGGTGAGATGGCGCAGAGAGCTGCGGGGGGGGCTGCCCGAGCCCCCCCCCTGCCACAACCCACCCAAGGCACCAGCCCCACGCTCCGAGCAGGGAACAGCCCCTATCCCTGCAGCGGGCTTGCTCCGAGCAACGCACTGGGGGAAAAAACGCCCCTTTTTGGTGACATTGAGGGCTGGGAAAAGCGAGGCGGAGAGGAGGCTGCGAGGCAGAAGGACCACGGGGGGAGGATAATTCCCACAAATCCGGCAGGACGAGAGGCGGGATGGGTTGGCCGAGGGGATTTGCCTGGGCCAGGAGGCTTTGCCCTCCGGGTCAGGAGTGCAACGCCAGGCTCAGGTTCAAGCGCCCTGGTGTATTTGCCAGCAGCTCTCCCTGCCCTCATTAGAGCAAGGACAGAGAGGCGGCTAACGAGGGCCCCTTTGGAGGGCCGGGCACCCGGGACTTCAGGACAGGGCTGGTTGTATCGGCGGTTCTCCACGCCGCTCCGAGCCGCGTGTCTCCGCTGAGAGGTGGCTCATCCCATCCCACGGGCAGGAGCTTTGGGGGACGAGGGGTGTCCCCAGGCCCCCGCGCCCGGGAGCGCTGCCGGCAGCTCTCGGCTCGCCCTGGGTGTGAGTGGGCAGTGGAGTTTTTGGTGTCAAACCATCCCAGGGACCCACGGACCCCCCGGGAGATACCGGTGAGCTTTTGGGCTCCTCGGCTCCTGCGCAGCACCCGAAGACCCTTTGTAGAGTAGACGGTGGGGCACAGAGTGGGGAGAAGAGGGCTCAGCATCGCGCTGCTGGCCGCTGGAAAGGCCCTGGGACCCCCAGGGAGCCCCCCGTGTTCCCATCGCCGCGATGGGCTCCGTCACAGCTGGGCTGGCAGAGCCTCCTTGGGACTGACCCTGAGCCATCCTTGGCAGAGGTGGCTCAATAACCGCCCCCCCCCCCCCCCCCCAGGCTCCGAGCATCCCACACAGCGTGGGGGGGGGCTGCTCGCAGCACGGAGCTTTCAGGACCGTGATCCCCATGACGTGGAGCAAAACATACGTGAGAAAGCAGAGGAGGGGCGGGAAGGCCTATTTATAGGCCGGCAATTAAGACGATGCCGTTAAAAATTAATCGCACCTCAAGTCATTGGCAACTATCAGTCCCTGCAGCGGGAGAACAGCGAAACGAGGGTTGGTGCCAGCACAGGTTGTCCTCTCGGGGCCGGGGGGAACCTCCGGGAAGCTGTGGTCTGGAGGAGGTGAGGGTCCTCCGGAGCTTGGCGATGGGGGGCTGCGGGCCGGGGTCTCCCCAGGGCACAAGGTGTTGGGGGGGGGGGGGGGGTAGGACCGTGACGCTGGTCTGCTCGCTGCAGGGCTCCTTGCCCCCAGGGCCTCTGCCGTCCTCAGCTGAATTCCCAAAGCTTCCTTGGAAATCCCTTTTCTAGACCGTGCAGAAGATACGGGTGTCAGAGCCAAGCACGTTCTTCTCTGACGAGGCGTCCGTCCATCTGTCCGTCCATCACCAATCCCTCCCCCCTACCCCTCTGTCGTGCCCTGCTCTGCTCAAGAAAATCCTCTCCAACTCCTTCTGTGGTTTGCGTTGCCTCCAGCCGGCTGCTTTCGGAGCGCCGCTGTTTGGGGAGTTCTCCAGTGGGTAACTGCCCGGCGGGGGGAACGTTTTCT